AGGCAGCCAACCATGATGTATACTCGTTATTTTAGTCAGCATAAGAAGAGCTTATTTACTATCATTTAGAACTTTAGTAATAGCAGTCATCAACTACTCGAATGTCAATGTTATATCTAACAGGATAAAAAATGCATACTCATTTACTGTAGTCACTAGTGTGTATCGGATGTTAGAATACACAATCAATAGACTCATCAACAAAGTAACAACCAATTACTTATGTATGCACGGTTTAATTGATCTATACAAATGCTACTCAAGCATTCTAAGCGTGTCATATTATAAAAATTAAATGTGCTGTAAACTCTGCCATGATATTGTATACCAATGCATAGCTGGTACTCGCTGTTGTGGCGTTACGAGCCTGTTTGTAAATGTAAGCACAAGAAAAATAAAGAATAAAAAAAACAACAACAAAAAACTCATACCTTACAAGTGACAATAAAATGTGTACAACTGAAAATAAACATGATAAAAAAAAAACACAAAGTAATTCAAAAAACACAATACCAAAAATAAACTAAATGCATATATCTTGGCATAGTGTACCTAAACTACACAAAGGGTTATTTACTAAAGTAAGAATTGACAGGAATTCAAAGTGAATTTGAAACTTATGGCCTACATTTTGGTATCTACTTTTAACTCCGTCATGCCATCCACATTATATTAGGTTTTGAAGCCGCTGAGGTGGTTTAGAATGCAGTAATGACTTTGAGCCCCACAGCCGCCAGCAAACTTACCTTCCCAGCACTCCCCTTTTCGGGCATTGCCTGACAGCCCAAGCAGTTCCCTCTGACAAATTAGGCCCCCATGGGCCATGTGATCGCTCTCACAGAACGATCACATAGCTGCAATAGTGGGCAATGGAGCTGCCTGCACTGGGCCTGCCTGGGATGTCAGGCAGTCCCCCTGATCATTGAAAATGAGAAAATCTAAATTGATTGTCAGCCAAGGAGGAGGAACATGGGCATGGCCAGCCACGACGAGATAGGTGAGGTGTGGGAAAAAGTTGAGTAAAATACATTCAAGAACCTGTAAATAAATATTTTACTGCAACATATTGTGGAATTTTTGCTCAAATTTAGTACTTACATTTTAAAAATAAACTGCACTATACTTTATTTTAGAGATCAGTCAAGAAAAAGACAAGCAGGAAGATGGACCAAAACACAAAGAAGAGGGTGAATTAAAATCCAGTAGTGCAAATCAAAGAGAAAACTCAAACAATAATTCTACTCTGTGTCTTCTGTTCTAAGAGTAACAATGTATTTCAGGATTGACTCAATAAATACGGAGTGGCAGTGATGAAAAGATTTCACTACAATTGTACCTTGTACAATAAAAGAACCATCACAGATTTATATCATTAACCTTTTTGGACTAGTTGCTCAACACATTGTTTCTCCAGTAATGCAGAGTGATCATCTATAGCCTACTTATATTACAAACAAGAATATAAACTGAAGGATTTATATTATAAGAGTTATCTTTTGTCACTTTCATGAAAAAAATCTAAATTAATTTTTTTTTAAATGGATGAGAAAAAAATCTCGATTTGTGGTAAGTTTGCTCAAGAATTGCCAAGCTATTTCTTAAAAGGAAATAAATAAATAAAAATATAGCTTAAAGGGATTCTATAGTGCCAGGGAAACAAACTTGTTTTCCTGGCACTATAGATTTCTCCTCTGTCAAGGCCCCCTTCCACGGCAGGTTGATAACCCCTTCAGTCACTTACCTCACGGGGGAGACCTAATGCACATGCGCAGCAATGGCCGCGCTCACATTAGGATCTCCCCATAGGAAAGCATTATCCAATGCTTTCCTATGGTTAAAATCTGACGCTGGAGATCCTCAGGCAGAGTGTGAGGACGTCCAGCGTCAGATAACGGACCAAAAGTCAGTTTCAATTCCGGAAGACCCTCTACTGGCTGTCTTTTAGACAGCCACTAGAGGAGGAGTTAACCCTCAGAGGTAATTATTGCAGTTTATTAAAACTGCAATAATTACCACTGCAGGGTTAAGGGTGGCACCCAGGCCTCTTCAATGAGCTGAAGGGGTCTGGGTGCCTACAGTGGCCCTTTAAAACAAAAATTACATATGCTGAAAAAAGACATGCGTTCATCAAGTTCAGCCTCACATCTGTAGTCTTTGCTGTTGTACCAAAAGAAGGCAAAAAAATCCAGTTTGAAGCGCTTTCCAATTTTGGAACAAATTGTTAAATATTCCTTCTTGACCCCAGAATGGCAATCAGATCTCTCCTTGGATCAACAAGTTGTTACGCCACATATTTTATATCCCTGAACATTATGTTTTGTAATTATTCATACAGTTGCTGTTTACACATCTGTATGGACTCTGATAAAACCACCTCTTCGAGCAGAGAATTCCACATCCTTATTGTTCTTACTGCAAAAAAAAGTTTCTTTGCTGAGGCAATCTCCTTTCTTCAATTCTTAATGCGTGACATTGTGTCCTATATACAGTCCTGTTTATGAATATATTTCCAGGCTATGGCTTGCATTGGCCCCAAATAAATTTGTATAATGCTATTATAGCCACTCTAAGGCGCATTTTTGTAAACTAAGAATTTATATATGTTAACCTTTCTGTACAACTATAATGTTCCATGCTTTTTATTCATTTTGTACCTGGCCACTGCACTTTTTCCAAGTGCCATAATATCTTTCTTTGGAACAGGTGCCCAAAAATGACAAAATAAAACTGAATAAATAGTAGCAGTCCAGGCTGAAGTGTTTGAGATTTTTCATTCTTGTTCTGTACTAATTAATTTAGCAGATCTTTCTTTCACAAACCAATTATGTACAATTTTTAGTATTTAATGGTTTACTTTAAGGACAATAGAAAAGTGAGTCTGAAAATAAATTAACTGTTTTGTTGTTTGTTTTTTCTTTTTATCCAAACAGGATGGTTTGCAGTACCTATCCCCAATGTATTATGTGTATTGCCAGGTTGCTTTCCTGTTCTCATTCTGCCACCTGTGGTTCACACATACCAGTATAGATCATTGTTTTTTTCACACTACAAAACAAACACAGATAATTGTTCAATTTTTGCTTTCTCCATAAGTGATGGTAATTATATAAAAATAAATAAATAAATAAGGACTATGGATTAAACCTACTGAGCCATTCACACAAACTGGAAATACAATATCAAATTGTAAATATGTGCACACTACATTATATCTACTTTTACCTAATTATTGCATTTGTTCTAAACAGCAACACCACTTAAATGTTATTTACATGAAAATGTTATGAGATAATTTTAAACAATTACAAAATTATAAATATATATAACATCGGGGGGGTGCACTCACCTAAACATGCATACATGGGGTGCTGCTGGCCATTTATGCATGTTTAGCTGAGTGCAGCCCCCTGGTGTCATGTATATTTATATATTTGGGAGTCTAGCAAACTTCTTGGTTTTGCACCCCTCCCTATCACAGGTGCCTCATGCCAGGGCCCTATTTAGCCTTGTACTGCAGAGAGCCCCAGATGGAATTTTTCCCCCAAATAAGTGGTTAATCTCATAAGAGCAGACATTAGGCTGTTAGAGTAGGACCTGCCAAAGATGGGGTACATTGATGTTGTGGCAGGCTTATGCAATGAATGATCATATAATGTAACTAAACCCCCATTATTTTTGCCTAGATTAGGTTTAAAAAAAAAAAAAACAACCAAAAAAAAACCCCACTAATAAAATCTGTCAACATAGAAGTTGCTGTTTAGTGGATAGGTGAGTGCGCTGGATCTTGTGTATGTGTATAATTATATATATATATATATATATATATATATATATACACACACACACACACTATATATATATATATATATATATAAATTAAAAAAAATATGATCTAACCACACAAATATTTGAAATAAGTATATTATATAAGTGGATCTGTCACTTGCTAAAATAGCTATCTTCAGATAGGTAATGTCATTTAATTTAGGCAGAGTGCAAATAGTGTTTATGTTACGATTATAAGGTCAGTAGAATTGATGCAGCAATCCTGTTGACAATTCTAACATTAAAAAGGTGATCTACAAGTTCAACCACCATGGACACTTAGTTACAAATGCGCATCATTTGTCAGACCACATGTATGTATGAAATATCCCCCAATATATATAGTATCCTACATTTCTCATTCACAGCCCTTCTCAAGCAGCTTTCTGTCTTGGCCATTTTAGTGCCGCACTTCCAATCAACTGCTAAATTTTACCACTTACCATGCAACCAAGCACTTGTTCATACACTTCTCTCCAGTCTTTATTGTTGGAAGCCATACATCAGTCTTACTATTTCCTAAATTACATCCTACCAATCTGATGTTTCCATTTGCCAGATCATCATTTACATTTGTTTTTTTCTAGATTTGGTACATATTCATTTAAAATTCTGCCTTCAGTTCTCACTTCCAACTTGCAGAACTTTTATATGGCTGTCTCATTCTTCTTGAATATCCTTCTCTTTAGAAGTAACCTAGCCTTCATCCATTTGGATATTCCTGAATGCACACGTCATTCTTGGAGTCCATCAGCTATTTGATTTCTCTTTTTACTGCAGTCTGCCATTATCCAAGCTTACCTTCCACGTGCTTTACTTTCTAATGTTGTGTATTTATGTAATCATTGCATACAGAGTAAAAACACACAATCTTCCTTTCTGTGCAATTATACACAAATGTCTATTATTGATTTGTCAGAACAGGATCCAGACAGCTTACTCTGTTTGCCCAACTTGTTTCTCAAAATTGCCCATCACTACCCTTAAACAGATGCAGATTATCTTGTAAAGATGAGTTCCATTTAACACTATTTTACATTTTTCTTCAGTTAAAGAATAGAAACATAAACATGTAGTGTCCCTTAAACTCCCTTCCTTCACTCCGCTAAATATTTTTCCAGACTTTTTTTTAGCCCTGGCAATACAATTTGCACCACTCTAAAGTAATAAAACGGTTGGTACACAAACAAAGCATTTTTATTATATAAAATATAACAGTTTCAAAATAAACAAACAGTTTCCCCCCCGCCCCCATTTTTTTTCTTCATTTTGACACCTTGCTCTTGGGACCAAAAAATGAAGATATGTTTTTCATGCCACTCTTATCCACTTTGGCCAATGATTTCTGTGCTGCTGTCAACTTGCTATTAGTCTGTAAGGGTAGGAAAAAGAAAGAACGGTTTGTGAGAGGAGATGTGGGGGTATCCACGTGATCAAGAAAAAAAAAAAAAAAAAAAAACAGCATTCAAAATTGTACCATGCATGACACATTTCAGATAATATCCGTATAGCTGGCTTGAATATTTGCAGCCAAGTTATTTTGACTTTTAATTTAAAATTGACTTTGCATTCCCAACAAGTCTCACTCAGTTAATAGCTGTTAATTCACAACTTCCAAAACTAAAATAAAAATATATATATAGACAGGGTTTCAAGTAGATTCTGTTGGTATGAAGAATAATGGACAGGTCTGGTTTAATTTGTGCAGTGTGGGACTGACAAGGAGTAGCTATGATAAACAAGCAACTTCATGTTAACTTATATTTCTTGTATAGAAGCAACAATGACAAATTACTTTGATTTTTTATAAAATGGCATTAACTTTTAAACATTTTGTTCGGATACACAAAAAACGTTTTTTTTTTTTTTGTAATTTTTTTTTTTTTAGTTATTAGATATCAATGGGGAAATTGCTATTCAGCCTAATCCCAGTTACTACCATTAAGCATTGTTTATACCAGGGGTCAGCAACCTTTTTCCTGCACGAGGGTTGAATGTTATCACTGTAAATGGATGGAGGGACATCTTCAAATACAGTATTTACAGTAAAATAAAAAATAAAAAAGATAAGATAACAAGAGTAGATGGCTCCCTATGTTAGTATTCTTAAGCATAGCAACCCCACATAAGGATAGCAAATTTCAGAGTTATCTATTAAACAGCTGAAATATCAGTTACCAAAAAAATTAAATGTTGCATAAATATACAAGCCTCGTTTGGACTATTATGTATATTGAAAAGAACTATTTTTAGATACAATTTTCCTTGAAAACACATTAAAAAAAATCTATTAAAATCCAATTTTGATTTAAGTATCATTTATTTTCCATCCACTCTGAAATATAGACCCCCTCATCCCCCCCAAACAGAACAACAACTTTTTTCTTTTGTGAGAATGATTGACAGTGTAAGTGTTAATTGTTTCCACAAGTTTAGGTAAACAGATAGCTGGTTTGTGATCAGTAAATCGGACATCTCCTAAGTTGGTCTAGTTAAAGGACCACTATATTGCCAGGAAAGCATACCCCCACCCTCAGGGTCACCCTCCCGCCAGGCTCTAGGGGGAGGAAGGGGTTAAACTTACCTCTTTCTCCAGCACTGGGAGCTCTCCTCCACCTCTTCGGCTGAATGCGCATGTGCGGCAAGTGCCCAGCACGCATTCAGCCAGTCCATAGGAAAGCATTCTCAATGCTTTCCTATGGACACAAGCGTCTTCTCACTGTGAAAATCACAGTGAGAAGCGCGGAAGCCCTCTAGCGGCTATCAATGAAACAGCCACTAGAGGCTGGATTAACCCTAATGTAAACATAGCAGTTTCTCTGAAACTGCTATGTTTACAAAAAAATAAATAAAAAAAAAGGTTAATCCTATCTGAACCTGGCACCCAGACCACTTCATTATGTTGAAGTGGTCTGGGTGCATGTAGTGGTCCTTTAACATTAACTTATACCTTTTGTAAGAAACTTTAAAGTCTGAGTCTGGCAATGAGCAAACAAGAGATTAGTGAAAGAGACATTAAGGAAGTAATGCATTTAGAAATAAAAAACTATTTACCCTGCAGCTCGCACTTCTCAAGTTTCTATACACATTTTATAGCAGGGGTGTTTTACCATAAGGAAGACTACTAGGACCAAGCCATCAGTTGTGGAAACTAGTGTTTATATTATTCATTTAATAATTAGGCTACAGCTTTTATGTGAAGGTGACCACTCCAAAGACACATTACCAGTCCATTCTGGTGCCTCCATCTGTACAACCCACCCACGCTTTAGAACAAACAATGTTACATTGTGTGACATGAAAAATTAATCAACAACTTCCACCTCAAAACGGTTTTTAGTATAGAAATCATTTCATTAAAATAATTAAATACAGCAACTCATCCCTACCTTTGTATTCTAGTATGTGATGAGTTTTTATAATCTTTAAAAAAAAAAAAAAATACCAAAAAAATAAAATAAAACCTAATCAAAAAACATGCTATCACCCAAATGGCACCATCCTGCAGCCTAACACCTGCTGTGCAGTATTTTTAATATGAGTGAATAACTCACGATGGGGAAGTGTGTTCGTGAATACATATGTATTTGTACAATATTGAAGGTGAGATTGCAAGTGTGCTAAATTATTTAACGGGGTAGTAATATTAGCATGGCTGGACTTGGGGTGTTTCCTACAGGTCTTTCCTTTGTCAGAATTCTAATATTCATGTTGCCAGGAGACCAGATTTATTACGATTATTCATATTAGCATTATTATCAAGCCAGCATATTCTTCAGCACTTTACAATTACAGAAAGAGGATATTTGACATGAGGTGAAGAAGGTCCTGCTCAAAAGACTTACAATCTATGAAGCTTTGAGGTAGGTGGATATATATCATTAGGTGTCTTGCCTAGGGACACATAGTGGTGGTCTGACCGGGATTAAAACCTGTGTTTCCTGTAACCACTTCTCTAGTCAGACTATCACAATATTTGTGTGAACAACCCATACAACTAATATGATAACTAATGCGAAGGAAATCCGCTCAACTGATCCAACTTCACCAATCTTAAAAACAGATAAAAGCAATGTTATGGTGGACTGCTAAATTAAAATGAAATGGTATATAGGGAAAGTGTTACTGTATACATTTTACATGAACGCACATTACTATGAATATAAATTTCAAAAGTGATCAAGGTGTAAACAGTATATTTTTTAATTACAAGCAAAGAAACTGCTGCATAGCCACTTGAAAGATTAAACAAACATCCATCAATCACAGGGAAAGAAGAATAAGGAGCCATTCAGCTTTACATATAAGTAACTGTAATTTGTTAAAGAGACACTGCTTTAATAACAACATTTTATTATACGAGAAGAGAAATGTTGATAGAATGCCCACCTTTTTATTTTTGCTGTTGGAGTTAAATTTTGTGTAGTCCTCATCGGCTTCCAATGGTGTGTCTGAAACTCTCCTTTTCTGTGATTTTAAAAAAAATGGGAAAAGTGCTTGGTCAGTCATCAAGCTACCAATGTTGTGGACCAAACACCCACTTGTCCCAAGGTTGCATCAGAGAAGCCAACATAAGTTAAACTCCACATGTAATTTTTATAAGTCAGTTTAGATTAACATTATGGATATGGGGGACTGGAATGTGGCTCAAGTGGCCATCAAACATTCCCTGACTCCCAGCATGCAAAAATATATATTTTATACCTATTGATCATCCTTGGCCAAATTTATTTAGTAATTGTACTATTGAATTCTGTATATCTGGCGATAACAAGTAAAGAAACCAGATACCTACATTTGAGACCTAAACAAACATTTTGTGGCAGCTATGAACTGCAACTGCATGCTACTTTATGCATTGTACCCTCAACATTTTAGACTAGTGCAGTGATCTCTTTTACTGTATTACATAGAAAGAGAGAATTCAATGATTGGAAAATTTGACAGTTAGCTGAAGCAGACATATATAGCATTGATCAATTCTGCATGAAAGTAATGTAATTTACCTTAACAGGGGGCTCGTGAATTGGACTGGATAGTTCTGGCAACCTGATTTTCAAATAAAATAAAAAATATATATATAGGTTTAGTAATAAAAGTGCACTTGTCATGCCCATTAGATTGAACATAAGATACTATATATACATTGTGCTAGCAAAATGTAAATATTAGGAGAAAAACCTATTTAAAAGGTTTTTCTCCCAGTTGTCAGTCAATGCCTTGGCTTGCCTCGCCACTGACTGACAAGGGAGAGCAGAAAAGACCTTCCACAGGAGATCCCTCTGTTCTCCTCACATAGCAACTACAATGCATGTGCTGCGGTTGCTATGGAAACTCACTAGCTGGCGCTTTTTAGAGGTGGGTTTACACTAAGAATAACATGATGCATAAGGATTCACTGGAATTAAGGAAAATTGAGAATCTATATTTTACAGTGGAATACACAATGTATATTTTTCATAAATGATGTATTTAACGTCTATGAAAGTGAAGGTAAGTTTAATTATTCATAACAGGTTCACTTTAATCTAGTTCCATTGTCTTTGAGCCTTCGTTCAGCATTTGAAAACCGCCAACACATCCTGTTGACATATATATTTAAAAAAATTTTATGATGCCAAAATACCAACGTATTGCAGTATGCAATGATACATTTTTTATTGGACTAACATAATATTTCAAAGACAAGCTTTTCAACAGTTTTACTCTCCTCCTCAGGTCTAAAGCAATACTGATCAATCTGATAGAGTTTAACACTTAAAACAACAGATTTTATCGAAGGGGAGGGAGGTGTGAGTGGGGTGTCATAATTAGCAGAAGATGTGCCTGAAAGTGAAAGGTGCAGGTTGGCTGAGAATAGCCAGAAAAAGTAAATAAACAGAAGAGAGTCAATAAGCTAGTTTAAAAAAAAAAAAAATACAGGGCATGCAAGTATATAGCTGCATATATGTATGTATATAAATTGATCAAATAAAGGTGAAATGAGAATATTGAAAAATAACTATATAAGACATTAAGATGTGTGTTTTTTTTAAAATGTTTTAGTAGTGTGTGAGAAAGCCAGAGTCTACAATAAGTCATTCATTTCAACACCAGAAAATAAGTACTTAATGTTTCCTTAATGGACCACTATAGGCACCCAGACCACTTCAGCTTAATGAAGTGGTCTGGGTGCCAGGTCCATATAGGTTTAACCCTTTTTGCTGTAAACATAGCAGTTTCAGAGAAACTGCTATGTTTACTTTAGGGTTAATCCAGCCTCTAGTGGCTGTCTCATTGACAGCAACTAGAGGCGCTTCTCACTGATTTTCACAGTGAGAAGACACCAGCGTCCATAGGAAAGCATTGGGAATGCTTTCCTATGAGACTGGCTGAATGCACGCGCGGCTCTTGCCGCGCATGCGCATGCAGCCGATGACGGAAGAAGAGTCCCAGTGCCGAGGGAAAACAGGTAAGAGATTAACCCCTTTCTCCCCCTTCAGCGCCACGGGAGTGGGATCCTGAGGGTGGGGGCACTATAGTGCCAGGAAAATGAGTTTGTTTTCCTGGCACTATAGTGGTCCTTTAGGTTTCAAGGAACTTAGGGCAACCGCTGAACTGACAAAGAAATTTGCGATAAGTGAAACCGCATGAATAACAACTTGAATCCAGTAGGTGGTGCAACTATTCACCACAATGATAACTGACAAATAGAGAATTCACTTCACCAACACAAGTGACATAATTTCTTCTTATTTTACTTCATTTTCAAAATAAATCCTGAAAAAGGTATAACTTGTTAAACTAACTATTGAGTTAAATCCATAAATTTCTTTGCAATCTCCAAAAAGAGATAAGAATGATATTTGTGATTAAATAGAAACTGTTCGTTGCTTAAAAAATTGATCATACAACTGCAGTTTAACAGTTCACTAACGAAAACTATCAGAAAATAACTACTGTTTTCATTATCTTCTCTGCATAAATGGCACAATGCCATATTGAGTGGCCTTACTACCATAGTTCTACCCACGCCACATTAAAAACAATTTACTATGAACGGTGCAGGGTTATCCTTTTGCATTTGAATACACTGACTGCAAGAGCCGTTGTTTCTGCAGAAAGGTATTAGAAAAAAACCCATACCACCCATCTGATATGGGTACGTAACTTATGAATACCCGTCACTAATAAATTATATATATATATATATATATATATATATATATATATATATATATATATATATATATATATATATATATATATATATATATATATTTTTTTTTTTTTCATGAAAATAAAGTTTGTTGCATTCTTACTCTAGATATTTTGAGAGTTCCTCCGGAAGATCCTCCGGTAAATATTCAGATATCAAGCCATGTGCATAATGCGTGTAGTCCTCTAGGAGACAGGGAAGCAATAAAAAAAGAACACTAGTGAAACAGGATAAATGTTGAACTCCTTCACTGTGCAGACTATGAAACAACAGCATTTAATTTCCACTAAGCACCACCTAGCTAGCCACCCTGGTTGCTTCTACATTATAGCATGCTTCTCCAGATGCGTAACATCACTTAATTACCTCTTCATTCATTTTACATGTTACCAGCGGCTGCAATTATTAACTCTCTCTGGTCATCAATCCTTATTTCCTCTGCTACCTCGTCTCAACTCCCCATTTTAAACTCTAGAATGATTAATCTCACAGGCTATATAGCCAATTGCTGGTATAAAACAGCTTCAGTGGCTAGATCGCAGCTCAAGGACAGGGACCTATTTGCCTTTGTATTAATCTGTGTATGTTGTTTTAAATGGTTTTTATTGTTTTTGCAGTAAAATTGCATGCATAGTGTGAGAAGCGAGAATCAATATAAGGTTGCCTGCGCAGAGGCTCAGTGTTATATAAAATCATAGTTGCATATGTGCCTGCGCAGAGGCTGATTATAGTTGTACCACACAATATCAGTCATCTGTATGTTCCAGAGCAGTACATTAAATCGACAAATCAGCAGACAGTGGCTATGCGTCAATAATATCTAGCAACAATACATTGAGCTGTGTGTATTTTAGCAAGCATGTAATAGCCTGTATAAGGTGCCGTGCGCGGGGGACTGTATTTATTTATTCGAATTAGCCCGCGGATGGCGCGTCCCATAGAAGCCACAATAAGTGTCGTATGAGTAGCGGCAATGCAGGTGATTAAACCTAACTATTTTGCGCCCATGTAGCTCAGGTATTTAATCGAAGCAGGTCCTCGCTATGGGCTAGCTTTATACAGGTTATAGTGTAATAAACATTAGGCAATAACTGTGAACCAACGCCTCAGGGGGTAATGCAAAGCAGGACAAAAACTTTTTCAACTTTCAGCATAATGAGCATATTTGTTTTAGTTTGCTGCCTTATTATTTAACAAAGCTATTTGGGATATCGGATTTACAGTGATAAGCGACTGTACAGTCTGTCATGCAGCAGTCCGCAATTAAATATGCATCAGTTGGCCCCTATGGGCATTTTAGCATTAACTGTGCATTCCTTTGGTATTTTAAGATGACTATATGTAACATATCAGCCTAAATAGGTAGTATTGCTGCGTGTTATGGAGTGAGTGATGCTATGTCTGCTGTAGTAGGCGGGAGTCACTCCCACTCCCGCCGCCTTGGGCCCCCTGTGGCCGTCAATCCTCCGTCCGACCTCCCCAGGCTATGTCCAGCCTTCCCGCATGGCGCCCTGTGGCACTGTGGGCACTCAGAGTCCGAATCAGTCCATTAGACCCCCCCACCAAGAGTCCATGTTCCGACCGGCTCCTGCACCTCCCCAGCACCACATGTGCTTCCGTGAGGTACATGGAACCCCTTGCCCCGCTGAGCGCCGGCCACATACTTGGAACTGGGCGTCCTCCCCACGGCGACCGGTACACCGGAAGGGTTGATGCACCTCCATCCCACAGGACTCACAGCGTCGGGGGCCGGTCTCCTCTGGGTCACCCCCAAACCCAAAGGCAGGGTCCATCACCTCTCTCGGGGGTCAGGGGCCCAGGGGTCTTTCTGAAGGGCCGCAGTCACCAGGGTCCCCACAGCAGCGTGAGAGTGCCTCCTCATGTTAGTGCAGGCTCTTCTCCGTGGCAGCTTGCGTGTCCGCTAGCTGGCTGTGCTTCGGGCAGCCTTTGCTAGTGCAGGAGGCAGGCTTGGGACAAGCGCGGGACCTCCCGCCGCTGTGTAGGCCGCCGCCATGTGGCCGGGATAACCCCCACCCGCCAGGGGGGGGGAGCGGGGCCGGGCCCAAGCCCGGGCAGTGTGCCATATGTGCAGGTGTCTCACAGGAGGTGTCTGTCTCCCCCCTTGGCGTTCCGTGAGGACTTGTCTCCTGGTCTTCAGGGTGCACTCAACGGCTGCATGTATATAGGTGTATGGCTATTAGGCCGCGGGTGTCTATTTCGGTGCGGTATGCTTCTTCCAGGTATCTGATTAAAGCTGAAGTCCTTCTCCGTTGAATGGTGTTGGAGGATCCAACTTTGGTGCGGTTGGTACCGACTTTTTATGTCATTTCTCCGGGCTTAGAGCTGGAGCCAGAGCTGATGGCTTCCAGTCGGCTCGGCGGCCCGGCCCCGCCCCCTCCTTAATCTGTGTATGTTGCACACACATTTAGTCTCCTGATCATTGCAATATTAAGTTATACTTAGATTCTCCAAGAAAGCTTTTGTTTAACAGCATTTACATTAATTTAAGCCCTACAAGTAATTGAGAGATCTCATGTTCTGTTTGCATGAAATAATGATCTTGATAAAGACCTGAATAGGTCGAAACGTTGATCTATTGAACTTTGACTTTATGGACACAGTAAACTGAACACTATTCAAATCCAGGAATGCGCCTAATTTTATATATATATTTTTTAGCATGTTGCTCACCCTCAAAACATCCCTTAATTGAATAATGTGTTTGCCACTTTTCAAACAAGGGCTTTTGAGGTTCTCCAACTCTGGGGATACAAAGCACCATTTAACTTCAAAGAAGCAGAGAATCGAGGAGCAAGATCTATACACCCAAACTGCTTCTTTAAACCAACATTTGCCAGCTGCTTAGAGTTTCCATTTAAGAATTTACATTTTTTTAGTCAAATGTTATAATACCTACACATATAAATGGAGTACTGTTTTCATAATAGAGCTTTAACTGCAAGGAAAAGTTATAATATTAAGTTCTAAAATATTTAATTAAATTTAATTAGTGGGCAGATGCAAAAACAGATTTGTTTTCTATGGGTGCAATTTGTAAGTGCTCTGCATTTGGCTTAGTAATTAAAATGTAAAGTCATTATTTACTATTAATATTTATATAGCGTCAACAGAACCAATAGGTGCAGAGGGCCTTACTCTAGATGCAAGCAATTTTAATTTTACCTTTGTGTTTTGCATCTTAGTTAATTTTCCAGTAGTTCCTAAAGCAATGTGTGTTCCACAAGTGCCCATTTCCTTCACGTAGATATTATGAGACAATATGCCTTACCATTGGTTCTTCCTACTGCATTTACTTAAAGAATGCGCTCCGACAGTCAAGTAGCTTAACTTTCTATATGCACAAATTACATTTTTCACTGGCATCAAAACAAAAAGGCCTTTGCACAAGGCAAGCGTTAAATCTGTTACATGTTTATATATATATATATATAAAATAATCATCAACAATAAATATCACTCATATTTACAACCATCCAAAAAAAAGCTAATTATGTTAGGATTCTTACCCTCTTTTACATCAGGTCCTGGTTTACTCCGAATAAAGTTAGCTGACTGGACACCTGCTCCAACACAAATATTGCTGCTTTTCAGAACATTAACTGTCTGATCCACCTAAAATAAATAAATACATAATACGTACACAAACAGGTTCTTAGAAGGGAATTAAATAAAGAAGCGTGATATGCAAGTCATTCAGACAGGGTTTGCCTTTTCGAATGATGTTTTAACTGTAACCTGTTCTGAACGCCAAGAGCACAGTGAGAAAATGTAATAGCAAGCAAAAATATTGTACTTAAAAGGCTTTCCATATAGTGGATGTTTCCTTACAAAGACCACAAAGTCATTTAAAGTGTTTAAAAGTTTTGAGATTTGCCGGTTATGTATTTTTCTGGTGCAGTGGTTTAAGTGAAGAAGGGGAGGTGACATGAGGTGCCATATTCCTGAGACTTGACAAAGCCTCATCAAGACATTAAGTGAGGAGTCTGACTGCAGAAAAACTATGCAAGGATCATTTAATATTAGAAAATAGACTTCCGTTAGTAGACAAGGGGCCCACCACTGTTGGCTGGTTGGGGAGTTTCTCAAAACTCCCCAATAGGTCTATAGCTACTCAGTTGTGGCTGGGTTCCCTGGAGCCTCTGGCCTTTTGTTCAGGATGTTCGTGCCTCGTAGTTAAAACACAAAAACGGGGTGCATAGCACCTCCTATCCTGACAGAACTGCAACTCGCCGACAATAATAATACGTTTCCCACCACAAAAAGTACTTTACCTTTTTCTTTAACCATGCAAGTGTTTTTTCTTTGCTGTACTTGTAAAACTTCTTGCTGCCAATTTCTGGTAAAATAAAAACGTAGTTTGTAACGAGGTTATCCTCAAGAGAAAAGTAGTAAAAGTACTTTTGTCAAGCTTAAATATCTCACCCCCCTTTTCTCCCTCCAAAGAAAAAAAAAACCCAGTAAATAAAAACAAAAAACAAGGCTTTATACACAGTATTTTAAAATGAAGAATTTCTAAATTACTTTGTTGGTAATTTGTTTACCTGCAGTAAGACTCCAATCTATTTCCAAGCAAAAATAATATTTTTTGATTCCTGAAAAGTCCATGCAAAAGGATAAACTACCGATGTTAGATCTGTGATATAACTGGATCCTTCATAGGGAATGATTTTAAACTAGCGTGTGAAACAGAGCCTTTATATTACCTCACTTTCTGAGGATACAGAGATGGAAGTACTAACTTGTCATTTGGTTTATATCAGCAGCTAGTCATTAATATATTTCAGGTCTCTATTCTGTGGGAACCCATTGGAATCTAACTGGGTTATTCAACAAAGTGGGAATTTAAAGAGAATCTCATATTTCAGGTTAAAATATCCACACTTTAAAAATTCTCACAGCCAACTATGTTTTCAGTCCAGCTACTCTTTAAAATGCACTAAATTCTCACTTTAGTAAAAAATCCTTTTAAAGGACCACTATAGTGCCAGGAAAACACTCGTTTTCCTGGCACTATAGTGCCCTGAGGGTGCCCCCACCCTCAGGGTCCCCCTCCCGCCCGGCTCTGGAAGGGGGAAATGGGTTAAATCTTACCTTTTTCCAGCGCAGGGAGCTCTCCTCCTCCAATCCTCCTCTTCTCCTCCCCGTCGGCTGAATGCGAACGCGCGGCAAGAGCTACGTGCGCATTCAGCCGGTCACATAGGAAAGCATTCATAATGCTTTCCTATGGACGCTGGCGTGCTCTCACTGTGAAATTCACAGTGAGAAGCACGCAAGCGCCTCTAGCGGCTGTCAATGAGACAGCCGCTAGAGGAAATAGGGGAAGGCTTAACCCATTCATAAACATAGCAGTTTCTCTGAAACTGCTATGTTTATGAAAAAATGGGTTAACCCTAGCTGGACCAGGCACCCAGACCACCTCATTAAGCTGAAGTGGTCTGGGTGCCTAGAGTGGTCCTTTAACTACGGGAACGTTTCCCAGGCCTCCCACTTCCAAGTACGACACTACTATAAGACCATTACTCAACACTTCACGCCTGTTGAATGGGAGAACCCTTTAGATGCCACGGGTGGTGGCGGGTCGAGACCCCCTGGCAAATAATTACTTGATGGGCTTTTCTCACCATATTCTCGAGCACTTACTTACAATTGTATGGGAGGGCAGTGTGTTACAGCAAACCGGCGGTTAGTTTACTTTGTTCTGGTGCACTTTTCACAGTATATTAGTTACTAACAGGGCTACCACCAAATTCTCACACAGCATATCTGTTAAACGTGCTGATTGGGCCACACTGGATAACATTGTGGCAAAGGACACCAAGAAAATACATCATCGGGCATCCGGACTACAGGCTAGTCACATGGACGCCTCTAGTTACGGAAAACACTTACAATTGTGACTTACCCTTTTCTTCAGTAATATGATGAACAGTTTGAGCAACTTGATTGCATTTTAACAGCATGTTGCAAGAAGGAAACTCTTCATCTACCACAATCTGCTCCAATGGCTGAAACTTCCCCTGCTATAAAAATAAAAAAAATAAAAAAAAAGGAATTGGCTTTTTACAGAAGAAAAAAAAAATTGTAGGATTGGGAATACTATACAGACCACACACAAACATATTTATTGCCAATTCCAGTACATAGCTGAAAAGAAAGAATGAAAAAAACAAAACAAAACATTTTTACCTTTACTAAAACAAATAAATTTGATTGTTAATGAAAAACAAATGCTCTGGGATAGAGAGAATAAGTAAAAAAAATGGGTTTAGAAGCTTCTATTTCTAAAAGAAAGGAAAACTATTACATTTTAACATGAAAAGCACAATTTTAATTCACTAAAGGGCACCAAGGACCATAACTACTACAGTGCATTGTGATGGTTATGATACAAGCAGGTTACTGGAACCGGTGACTAAATATCTGCATGTCAACAAGCTCTCCAAAAGATTGCTAGGTATCTGAACAACATACTGTACCTCTTTATATGCTTTAACCAAATAGTACAGCAGGAAAAATAATGGATCAGCTGGTGATGCAAACAAAAGTCTCCCATCTAGAAAGAATAATGCAATACTGAATTAGTAAACCCGCAATAGTAAGTTACAATACCACTGAAAAAGTAGACATTAAAGGGACACTATAGTCAGCAGAACAACTACAGCTTATTGAATTTGTTCTGGTGAGTAGAATCATTACCTTCGGGCTTTTTGCTGTAAACACTGTCTTTTCAGAGAAAATGCAGCGTTTACATTACAGCCTAGTGATAACTTCACTGGCCACTACTCAGATGGCTGTTAGAGATCCTTCCAGGGTCATGGCTGCCTAAGATACATCCAAACATTCAATGTCTCCTCCCTCTGCATGCAGACACTGAACTTTCCTCATAGAGATTCATTGATTCAATTCATCTCTATGAGGAGATGCTGATTGGCCAGGGCTGTGTTTAAATCATGCTGGCTCTGCCCCTGATCTGCCTCAGCCAATCCTATGGGGAAGCATTGTGATTGGATCAGGGTACCAACTTCTGATGATGACAGCAGACAGAGGCAGTTCACAGGCAGATGTTGCAGCTGTAGACTTGAATACAAGTAAGATTGTACTATATTTAGGGTGGCAAGAGAGGGCCAGGGGGCTAGATGGTAACATTATAGGGTCAGGAATACAGGTTTGAGTTCCTGACCCTATAGTCCTTTAAAAACTTGTTTTTGAAAGCAGTTTTCTTTTTCAGTATTTTGTCTCTTTGTAAACATAAATTAATCTTGTGTCATTGTATACTATCTGTGTGAGTAAATCTAGGGAACAGGCAGTTCATTCTTTGTAGGGTCCTGTGTCTTTCCCCCATGCCATATACAGATATGTTCTGGAAATAAAAAAATAAACACACTTTTTTTTTTTTAAACCTTCAGATTTTTAATCTCCAAATACAGCTTCTTATAAAAATAAGTGATGACATGAATATGTTATTGTTTTTTTTTTTATAACTCAGCAAGCAATTTTCCTTAGATCCTGTTTATTAACCATGAGTTAAAGATCATGCATTAAAGTTTTGAGAAATAAAAAAGGGAAGTTACTAGGAGGCATGGAACAGTTGAAATGCTGTGCTTGCAAGTTTATAGCACAAGAAGGATCTACTGCATTTTGCTATATTACAGTTCACATGCAGAGTTTAACCGCTTTACTGCTAGAGGTGTTTTGGCATCTGTCAGACAACCAAGAGCAGCACAGCAGACCCCACACTGCCCATGTCCTCCCCTCAGCCCAACATCCCTGATGTCCATCACCCTTAAGTAAGGGAGAATGAAACAGCAGAGGAGGATTTGGCAGTAGAGAGAACTAGTGCTGGATAGAGGCTAGTTTTAGATATCTAATTTTATTTTCCCCATTGGGGGGGGGGAGGAGGTAACATAGAAAGTTACACAAAAATGTGTTAAAAGACAGTTTTTTGTTTGGACTATTCCTTTAATAATAGAGCTGGAGTCATTGAAAAGATCTTAAAGTATCATATATGCTTAAAATATTTTGGAGCATTTCATTTTAGGTTAAAATGTAAAAAATTTGTGTAATTAAATAGGAGCATTTAGAAAGCCCACCTTGTTGAACTGTTTGACCTATGAACCATGAGCGACATTTTTCATGGAAAGCTTTCAGTTCACAGAGTTGTTGTCCATTGTTCATAAACAGACACAGGACTCCTTTCTCTACAAAAAAAAAAAAAAAAGAAGTCAAAAAAGTTCACTCACAAGCAAAAAAAAAAAAGCAAAAATACATAAATTTTTTTAATTTTATAAATAATAAAGCTATATAAACAAATATAAAGAATGTAGGTAGGCAAAATTGATAACCAATGTAAGACATAGTATCAATAACATTTTTCATACATCTTAACAGTAATTAAAAGGTCACTACAACCATCACAACAATGCTATGATGAACCATCTTGTCAAGATGGAATAGTGCAAGACTCACAGCCAATATCTCCTCAAAAAGGATTATAATCACTAATGATTGGTCCTTACAGGCCCAGAGTGCCTAACCAGGAGCTACCCAGGAATTGCATGGAACAGTTTGTCGGATCACGGGTTGCCGCGGTCCGGTAAAACCTCACCTGGACAGTATTTTGTGAAAAGAGAGAAAATGAGTGCCCTTAAAATATAAAACTTTTAATAGTAATTCTAAAATCTAGTCTGGATATCCTAAATAGAAGTTATAAACAAAGTATCTACATTCTAATATACGGAAGTATAATAGCCCAACGTATAAACAAACATACACTGGTAAATCGCTTGTCAATAGAAAAATATGTAAGGAGATCCTGTGGACCACTAATAGATAGAGTACAGGGCAATATGTAGAGAAACCCTGTGGACCTCTAATAAACAGAATACAGGGCTAAATAAATAGAATTTACAAATATTTCTAAATCCTATCTAGTAGTATCTGCAGCAATCATTTAGCAGTCTACAATGGCTAGTAATTGTCACTAGCGACAGAAAAGTGTGTATATGGTGATACACCAAAGTAAAGTAGTGAATGTACAAAATAATTCACAAGAAAATAAATGATAAACTAAAGTATATACAATTTGGTTAACTAATTGAGAACTAAAATAAGTAGAATCAGGTAAAAGGTCCTGAATTCTAAAAGTACAGAGAAATAAACTGATAATCACTAGAGTATGTATGATCGTTATGAGGTTCTGTTCAAAAGTTTTCAGAAACCTTCATCTGGTGATATGTGCAAACCGAAGTTTTGCAATCCACATGGGCTTTGTAAAGTAACATTTGATCTCAGTGTAGTAACGAATCCATAATAAGAATACAATGTAACATTAACTGCAGCAGTTATAAGAGAGATGTTGTAACAAACTATCTAAATATAGCTGAAACAATAGTGAACTGGCATCTATTCATGCAAGTGAGAAGGTCCTGTTCAATAGTTTTTTGCAGGGACCTTGGTCTAGTACTATGTGCAAGACGATATTGACAAAGCACATAAAATCTAAATGTCAGTTTACTATGTACATGATCGTAAGAGATGCAGAACGCTGCTGCAGAAAGCACGGAGTGTAGCCTCAGTGGATAAATAATAATCAATGCAACCACTCTTGCTGTGGGGGTAGTTAAGCGGTCTGTTCCAAGTGTATCTGATAAGATGGCTTAATGTCAAATCCTCAGTGTGTATAGCTCCATGCCCCCACCTAAGATATTGGCGGTTAAACAAACTTGGGATCCTGAGACATAAGAATCTGTTCTTAATAAAACATGAAATAAATTTAAAGTCTCTGGATCACCGAGTTCCTGACGCGCGCGTTTCGCCAACAGCTCATCAGAGGGGAGACTCACATGGACAGGGCTCGGCCACCAAATGGGGCGCTATTTAGAATGTGGATTTGCAAGGTCACGAGGCATCCAAGGACGCCAGCCACTTTAGAAAGCTTTTGTACAGGAGCCGCCATTCTCCGTGACCAAGACTTTCCACCCAGCAGCCTGGAACTCAGCAACATTGAAGGATGGTTGTGGCCAAGTCAAACTTTCTTTCAGGATTACTTGGGATGGGCATCTATGATCCAGGTGCTTTTTGGACTGTATACCCTCTGGAGGAGAGCCTTTCAGGAACATATGATGTGTGGGGATGCACTAAGGGGAAACTTTTTTTGGGGATATTGTTGTTGGGTTCCCTGATGTGTGGCAGTTAATATAACTACCTAGTTCTGACCAAGTTATCTCCCAGACACCAAGGTGTCAGGGTGGGGAAATTTATTTTTTTCGGTGATGACCCCCTGTTGTGGACTGTTGCATAAAAAGCACCCAATAAAACTGAACCGGTCTTACCCTGCATCAAGCCACGGCTGTTGACTAGGGATAGAGCTATAATCACTCTGGGTCTCATACGTTAGGGAAAGGGGATACCTGGCGAGTATATTTTGGCTGAATAGGAGAGTTCCGCCATAAATACGGTTTATCTAAACTTAAAAGGGAAACTCCAAGCTCCATAACCACTTACAGTGATGGGAAAAGGAAAGTACACCCTCTTTGAATTCTATGGTTTTACATATAAGGACATAATCATCTGTTCCTTAGCAGGTCTTACAACTAGGTAAATACAACCTCAGATGCACAACAACATATGACATATTGGACCTTATGATTTAACAAAAATAAAGCCAAAATGGAGAAGCCATGTGTGAAAAACTAAGTACACCCTTACTGCTTTCACAGTAATTAAGAGACTATGTAGCAGACAGGTGTGGCTAATAAAATGCCCTTGATTAATTGATCATCAGCAAGTGTGCCCACCTCTTAAAAAGAAAAGTACCTTTTTCAAGCCAGTTTTGTGAATGGGGAGTCACTGATTGGCTGAGGGCGTCAGCTGACCACCTTCAGCCAATCAGCGGCACCCCTGGCTTCCTGAAATTGAGATTCCAGGAGCTGGATTCTACTTGGGTGAGTTGAGTATCGGTGCTGGAGGCAACTTTGGGGGTTAAACTATTCTAAAGTGGTTTAACCCCTGTAGATAACAGTGCACCAGGGGGCCTCCTGGCACCATAACTTTTTGACCCTTCCTGCTGCCTAAACAGCTCTGATGTGTCAAGGCATGGACTCCACAAGACCTCTGAAGGTGTCCTGCGATATATGGCATCAAGACATGAGCAGCAGATGCTTTAAGTCCTACGAGATGAGGCTTCGATGGATCGGGTTTGTTGTTCCAGCACACCTCGTAGATGCTTATTTGGATTAAGATCTTGGGAATTTGGAGATCAAGGCAACACCTTTAACTCTTTGTAATGTTTCTCAAACCATTCCTGAACAATTTTTGGAGTATGGTAGGTTGCATTATTCTGTTGAAAGAAGCCATTTCCATCAGGGAACACTGTTGCCATGAAGGGGTGTATATGGTGTGCAACAATCTCTAGGTAGGAGGTACGTGTCAAAGTAACTTCCACCCAAGGTTTCCCAGCAAAACAGTGCTCAGAGCATAACATTGCTGCTAATAACCTACCTACTTCCCATCTCTTCCCCAGATAATTGACGCACACTCACCCAACATTCCACTTGGTCTAAATCAAAATGTTATTCATTAGACCAGGCAACCTTTCTTCCATTGCTCCATAGTCCAGTTCTGGTGCTCTCATCCCCATTGAAGGCGCTGGACAGGGGTCATCATGGGCACTCTGATCAGTCTGCGACTATGCAGCGCCATACACATGAAACTGCAATGCACACTGTGTTCTGACACCATTCTATCATGGGTAGCATTATTTTTGTATTTATTTATTTTTAGCAATTTGACATACAGTAGCACTTCTGTGTGAAGAGACCAAATTGACCAACCATCAACGAGCTTTGGACACCCATGACCCTGCTATTGATTCACCGGTTGTCCTTTGCACCACTTTTGGTAGGTACTAACCACTGCATACTGGAAACACCCCACAAGATTTGCCACTTTTGAGATGTTCTGACCCAGTTGTATAGCCATCACTATTTGGCCCTTGTCAAAGTCACTCAGATCTTTTCACTTGCCCATTTTTTCTACTTCCAACACATGAAATTTAAGAACTGACTGTTTACTTGCTGCCCAATATGTCACACCCAGACAGGGGCCATTTTTACAATATAAGATTCACTTCACTTGTCAGTGGTTCTAATGTTGTGGCTGATCAGTGTCACCTATATCACCTGTCTTTATTGATACGTTTTATATCTCAAACTTATTTTAGAATTGCCAAACAATGGTTTCCTTCTGGAGGGCTAAGTTAAGCAACGATAATCATTATATTAGATTACATACCGGTTAATGGACTGCGTAGTTTCAGGAATAATGTTTTATTACTTTTAGTTTTTGCATCATCTTTTAGAGATTCTGAAATTACAGACACAAAGTTCATTTAGTTTAAGTTATATTACAAACAATTCACATTAGATGAGGAGCCAGCACATAAAGCATCCCAAAAGATTGAAAATTAATGAAGATGTACCTGTAGATTAGAGACATGCATGGAACATATTCTTGTGGGAATATAAATGCTCAACAACTCTTTTTCACCAAATGTGAAATACACATTAAGACTTTTGGGGTTTTATCCTTTAAACGTGGAATTGTGGGGGATGTCACAGTAAGTTTTAAATGGTAAGCGCCTCAGTTAGACATCCACTAGAGGCTGGATTAACCCTGCAATGTAAACATAGCAGTTTCTATGAAAAAACTGCTATGTTTACATCTGAAGGGTTGAAACCTGGGGGGACCTGGCACCCAGACCACTTCATTGAGCTGAAGTGATCTGAGTGACTATAGTGTCCCTTTTAAACCTTGTTTATTTGACCCGTGCAAGACTTTGAGTGTGACATGCTTGCAGTACACTGTGGAGAAGTGACATTTTTAGGTGAAGCTATGCCAACTAAAAAAAACAAAACAAAAAAACTGTTGCAGATATATTTCTAGTTCCAACATTTTTATATGAAATTAGAAAATTTCCATTTCAATGCACACACAGTTCCAAAAAAAAAACCCCCCAAAAAACAAAAAAAAACAACCTTAGCATCCCCTGGGACATCACCTGCTGGTATGTTCATTGTTCACTCTTACTAGTAATTGTAAAGCATGTTCTATTATTTACAAAAATTATTCCAGAGTTATTGTACAGATGGATTTTATAAGTACCAACAGAGTGAGGGGACCCTATAACTCTAAAAAGGAGAAGAATACTGTTCACTTTATTTCCATATTGTAAAGGGCAAATGAGAGTTTACAAACATAGTTACACAGAAGCAGTACAATTTTATAGACGTTTATTAAAGTGTGACTGGTCATGAATTAAAAGTAAAATTTCAAAATTGTAGGTCAAAAAGTCATACATGTTTACAATTCAGCCATTTTAACCTAAATCTTTAGAAATTCCCTTTAAATTCCTAACAAGTCACTCTTTAGTGCCTAATTATTTATTTATTTATTTATAAAATATTTTACCAGGAAAGATCCTGGCAGTGTTATCCTACAATAAGTGCATCTCTGATAAACCATCCCAATTAAAGGGACAGTACACTCTCCTCATGCCCACAGCAAGGATTTAATGGCCAGCACCCAGCCGAGGTGTACCTGGGGCCACCAGCACCCACTGGTCGGTCTGTCCGTCCCCGGCCAGCTTCTTCTTGGAGAGCATGGTCCCTGCAACCGGTTATTTTAAACCCACAGCCCACGCCGCTTGCCCGTCAATGTGAGGAGACACTTGGCGCCCATCAGGACTCCACCACTGAGCTGCGCGGGGGGGACACTTCCTAACTATATGCCTATACTCTACTTAACTCATATAATAGCATGCACGACGACATACTATTTACTTATTAATTATGGAAAGGTTAATTCGTGCAGTCTGTGCGTATTTGGCGGTTGTGGTCTTTGATCTTGTTTTAAAAATAATGTGTGTCCCCCACATTCATGGTAGAGATAGTTTCTCCCGCTTGGTGTCAGTATGTTGCAGGAAGAAATTCTCTGCTACCTTCCTGTGGCCTCCCCCTTCCTTGTGAGTTACAGAGAATAGAGAATAGAGAACTTTGTAGACAGCAACATTGTTGCATTACTTGTTGCAGTGAAGTAGCAGTGCCAGGATTCCTAATAGAATGCAAGATGTAGTGTTCTGTTTTAGATCTCTCTGTAATGGGGATAGTCATACACACAGCAATACACACACAGGCAGTCAGTCATACACAGTTACATTCATACATGCAGTAACACCCACACAGTTGCAGACACGTACAGGCACAGGCACAAGCAGACAGTCACACAGGCAGACACAAAGGCTGACACACACACACAGGCAGACAGACTCACACACACACACAGGCAGACAGACACACACACACACACACACACACACACACACAGTTACAGTCACACAAATGTAAAGTTACCTTTCTCCATAATGAGCTGTAAGGAAGGAGAGGGGGCACTTGCAGCTCCTGGAGTTGTTGGGGAAGCAGGGACTCCTTCCTGCTTCCCCCTTCCTGTGCAGCACAGGGTTCTAGGTGCGCTTAGCTTGTTTTATTTTCTAAATACGGATGCCCATTATTCCCTTTGCAGAATGAATGAAGGTGGCAATCACAAAGTTACAAAGTCACAGTTTAGTGTTATCTGCTAAACTGCTGATTAAGAATGGCCCTTTTCTTTAGTTTTGATCTTTCAGTCATTTAGTAGATAATTCACTAATTTGCTGTCCTCACATTGAATGGCCAAAAGTATACCAATTACCAAATAAATTACCTATCCACTAAACAGTACCCTAATTTCAGTTTAGTAGATGGCTCCATAATTTAGTATATTTAATTATGCCCTTTCCTTAATTTTGATATTTCAGCTGGTAAGTAGATAAAACCCTAATTTTTCCATCCCTACATGCGACTGTCCTATTTAAAGGACCACTATAGTACCAATTTTTCTCAGGGTCCCACTCCCGTGGCGCTGAAGCGGGAGGAAGAGGTTAAATCTTACCTTTTTTCCAGTGCCGGGCTCCCTCGGCGCTGGGACTCTCCTCCCTCTTCTGACGTCCCTGGCTGAATGCGCATGCGCGGCAAGAGCCGCGCGCGCATTCAGCCAGTCCATAGGAAAGCATTATCAATGCTTTCCTATGGACGCAAGCGTCTTCTCACTGTGAAAATCAATGAGAGAGCCACTAGAGGCTGGATTAATCCATAGGTAAACAAAGCAGTTTCTCTGAAACTGCTATGTTTACAGCAAAAAGAGTTAAACCTAGCTGGACCTGGCACCCAGACCACTTCATTAAGCTGAAGTGGTCTGGGTGCCTATAGTGGTCCTTTCAGAATACCAAATTAGAGAGCTATCTACTAAACAGTCGAAAGATCAAAATTAAAAGCAAGCCCTTTTCTTAGTTTTGCTCTTTCACTGATTTAGTGGATAACTCCATAATTTGCTATCATTATCAAAACAAATGGATCCAAAATGATTTGGACACTCCTGAATTGCCAAATTCAGACTGATGTGGACAGAATACGATTTGCTCCAAATTGAATTGCACGTTTACTGAGATTGCCCTTGAAAAGACAGTGTTTACTGCAAAAAGCCTGCAGGGACTGACATAAGTCACCTGAACAACAACATTGGTATTTTACGATCCAGGGAGCATAAAGAAAGGAAAGCCAAAAGAAGAAAAAATGACAGCCACTTTCACTGAATTGCTGACAGTTTACAGTCCCTATAGGTGAAAAATCCTCATTAATAATTTGCTCATTGTGCCTGGTGTTTAGAGTTTTAATAATTAAAAAGCCACTTTTAAAGTCCCTGCTTTAACTATATATGTGAAGATAAACAAACCATAGTGTTCTGGGAGTTCCCTTCTCACTTACCTGAGTCCCCTGGCCACCTGTGGGTTGTCATTTGTCACAGATAAAGCAAACATTCCTTTTCCACAACAGATTTGGCAATTCTTCTCAACAAGAACTTAATTAATTGACTGAGAGCATCAACTGAAGCTTTCAAGTAATTTATTCCACCCAAGGATGGTTGAAATTGATATTAATTATATAGAATAACGATAGTGATATCGGTAAAGAGGGGCCATTCAGCAAGAATTTGGGGGATCCAGGCAATTGTCAACCTTTTAATAAATAGTTTGACTCTTTACCATGGGAACTTATAAACCATAACCAAAATAATGAGTTGTAGTGGTTATAGAACTTATTAATTAACATTTTTAGAAAGAGGCATTCACTCAACTTCTGAACCGAAACAAAACCTAGAATTGGTTCTGTTTTGTCCCACTGTAATTTAAGGATTTAAACTCGTTTTCCTGGCACTATAGCTTCCCCCTCAGTCAATGCCCTCCCTACCCACCATGGTGCAGAAGGGGTTAATAACTGTGGCGGTATGCCCTCCTGAAAATGGGTTAATACCGCTTGTGGTCACCCCTTCCTGATCAGCTCCAGAGTGATTATAGCTGCTGAGTAGTGATTATAGATACTGCCGAAGGGTAACCGTGGTATCACCCAAACACTAGTCGAGACTGAATGAATGGTGAAGTAGATCTGTTTATTCCCAGCCAAATGGCTCACATTTATACAGAATAACAGTAGACACTCCCCAAAACACGCCCATAAACACACCCACAAAATGTCCACAAAATGCATTGTCATCGTGACTCAGCAAAAACACATATGTCACACATAGGAACCCCCACAGTCTATACATCCCTGAGTAGCCTGGATCTGAGCGCCTAACATATCCGAATAGCGCTCAGATCCCACAAACAGAGAACCGTGTGGAAGTTCTGACCAGCAGCACACATGGTCCTATGCCCAAAACAGTTCCAGGGTGTTTTGTGCTTTTGGCCGGTCAACTTCGGGAGTTCCATGTGAAAGAAATACCGTACATACACTCTGGCTTCTTGGTAGCGTTTGTTTGTATGAACCATATGAAGAAAACTACGAACTGGCGCTCTCCTGACGTGTGGGGAAGGAGCAGGCGTTCGTCCAAGTTCAGCGGTGTTCGGTGTTTCAGTGTCCAATTTCAGTTCCACGCGATCGACGCCCAAACACCGCTGCCTGCATTCTCATGAACCAAATGGCTGCCACACAGTTCCCATGTGTTTGTGCATACGAATGGCGGCCACCCAGCCGCTCAATTAGAATCCACACTGATAGAACTGTCAGGAGAGTTAACAAGGGGCAATAAGCTCCGAGGTGGTCCGCAGTTCGTGGGTAGAGATGCTGTCCAGGAAGTAGGAGGGTCTGGGAGGGAGGGTCTGCCGGAGATTGGCCGGGATGTGTCAGCTGACCGGAGTTCGCCACGAATGGCTCGTGGCGAAACGTTCGCGAGAATTTCGCGGACGGTTCGCGACATCTCTATTTGTGGGTTGGTTCAGTTCCCGAACAGTCCATGGAAATCCTACAAACACAGTCTTTCAATAGCCTTTTAGCATGGCCCATAGTCCTGAGGCAGGAGGCTAGCAAGCAGGCTCCTCCAGGAGCTTGTGGCGAGGGCAATAACCTTTTCGGTCACTTACCTGGGTTCAGCACATGGGCACTTGCTCCCCCCCTCCTCCCCCCTGGATTTTTCAGCTTGTTCTGCTATTTTCTTGTGTGAGATTAAAATGCACTGCAGTAGGTGGAGTAGGTGTGTATGGAGAGAGACAGGGATAGGAAGCTACATCTTAACCCTGCTACTCTCTGCTAACTGAAACCCCAGATCAGGAAAGTGAGGGATGGGGGGGAGGCAGCCTACAGATCAGTTAAGTGAGGGCTGGGGGAGACAGCCTACAGGAAGGGTCAGCAAGGAGCAGGAAGGTAAAGTAAGAGAAGGAGCAGAAAGGAGAAGGAACAGAAATGAGTAGGAAGGGACATCAAGGAGCAGAAAGGGCCAGCAAGGAGCTGGAAGGGACAGCAAGGAGCACAAAAGGTAAGGTAGGAGAAGGAGCACAAAGGAACAGAAATGATCAGGAAGGTCTGCAAAGAGCAGGAAGGGTCAGCAAGGAGCTGGAAGGGTCAGCAAGGAGCTGGAAGGTAAAGCAGCACAAAGGTAAAGTAGAAGTAGCAGGAAGGGACATCAAGGAGAAGAAAGGGTCAGCAATGAGCTGGAAGGGGCAGAAGGAGCACAAAAGTAAAGTAGGAGAAGGAGCAGAAATTATCAGGAAGGGTCTGCAAGGAGAAGGAAGAGTCTGCAAAGAGCAGAAAGGGACAGAAGGAGCACAAAGGTAAAGGAGCAGAAAGAATCGGAAGGAGCAAAAAGGTAAAGTAGGAGAAGGAGCAGAAAAGGGTAGCAAGGAGCAGAAAGGTAAAGTAGGAGAAGGAGCAGAAAGGGATCAGAAAGAGAAAGGAGCAGAAGGGCGTAAAATAAGCAAAAAGTAGCAGAAAGGTAAAGAAGCAGAAGGAGCCAAGGAGGAGAGAAGACAGTGTCAGAAGAAAAAGAAGACTGTGTCAAATAAAGGAAAATAAAAGGATATTGGAGCAGGAAGGACAAGTGAAGTGAACCCTCCACTTAATTCTGGACACCACATCATCACCACATCAGACTTTGGTACCTGGGCCTGGCAGAGAAACTTTGGCCTTCTCATCTCCCCAGGTAAAAAAAAAAAAAAAAATATCAGTGTTAATGTGTTCACTTTTATTTACTGAGTGTCAGCAAGCACAGAGTGCCGCTGGGTAGGGGTGTCGCTGATTGGCTAGAGCGGTCAGCTAGCACTCTAAGCCAATCAGTAGCTCCGTATTCATAAAAAAGTAAAACATTTTTATGAACCGGGAACTAGCGATTGGCTTAGAGCGTCAACTCACCACTCTAGCCAATCAGCGGCACCCATACCTGACATCAATCTGCACTTCCTGACACTCCGTTTCAGAAGCCGAATACCACTGAGCGACCTGGAGATCTGGAGCTGGAGGAAGCCTTTGGGGTTAAACCATTTGAGAGCGGTTTAACCCCTTAAAGGAAAGAGAGCACACAGGGGCTTCCTGGCATCATAGCATTTTAATTTAGAAGAAGTTGTTATGGTGACCAGAATGTTCCTTTAATTTGCCTAAAGGAACACTATAGTGTCAAGAATGCAAACATGTATTCCTGACACTCTAGTTGTGAAAACACTATTCACCCTGGCTTTATGTGATAATGACTATGCCCCTTCCCTTTCATGACACTGTCAAAAAGGGACCAAGCATGGATGTCATTACAATTATGCCGCCCCCGTTCCCTCGCCGCCTCGGATGGGACGTCGCCCGCCGCGCTGAAGCCCCATTGCACCCCAGGGATGGATCCACGGATCCAGGTAGGGAGGCTGGGTGGAAAATTCTTAATTACATTATTAAGTTGTGTCTGTGTGTGTATGTCTGTGAGTGTGTATGTGTGTCTGTGAGTGTGGGTGTTGGTGTCTGTGAGTGTGTGTTTGTGTCTTTCAGTGAATGTATGTGTTTGTCTGTCTGTGAGTGTCTGTTAGTGCATGTGTGTGTCAAATCTGAGTCTCTGATTGTGTGACGATCAGTGTGTCTGACAATGTCTGTGTGTCTGTGTAATGGACCGTTTTGCCCAAAAGAGGATAAAAAACGTTTAGGCGATATTCCCCTTTTTCAGCTGCACCGACAGCTACTGCAAGCACCAATCTCCTGAACTGCAAACCCACGAATTCACCAACTACCGAACTGCAACCAAGGGAATACTCGAAACTCCCGAACTGCATATCAAGGGAATACTCGAAACTCCCGAATTGGAGACACACGATTAGCTGCTAGCAGACGAACAGGAAAAGCCCCCAAGCGGCTTACACTCCTGGCAATCAGTCTCTAACAGCATACAGTAAATCTTCCCCCAATAATGAGACGACACTTAACTTTGAGGGTTAAGCAGGAACTGATTTACTGGGGCTAACTGCCCGGCTTTTATGCAGGTCTCCCACCTGGTGGACACTCCCCTAGAGGACCAAAAGGGAGACTGGGACACAAAGGGTAAAAGGACCAATCACAGACATACACATTTCAACCATCCCACAATGCATCACAATCCCTCCTCTCTGCTCTGGAGATAATTGAGAAGTAATTCAATTATCTCCAAAGACAGAGGCAAAACTCCATTAACCACATGGCAGAAAACAAACAGTAAAAGACATAAAATTACCTACAGTTACATTCAGTACATAAAACATAAAATATAGTTTAATCGCCATGGAGCCATAGTCTTTACACAGTCAGTTTCATGCGAATGGGCTCCATGGGATTCCTATCTGGGGCACAACACACTCAAACAAAACTACCGAACACCCGGCAGAAAAGCACGAATAAGTCTTTTCTGCAGGGAAAAAAGATGTCTTTTAACATGGGGCCATAGTCCAAAGGCAGCAGGCAAGCAACCAGGCTTCTCCAGTGTACAGTGGCATGGTTGGTTTTGCCACAGTCTGTCAGTATGCGAGTGTGTGTGTCAATGAATGAGTGTGTCAGTGAATGTGTGTGTGTCAAATCAGTGAGTCTGTGTTTGTCATTGAGTGTATGTGTGTGACGGTAAGTGTGTATCAGTGTGTCTGACTGTCAGAGACGTCTGTGTGTCTGTCATTGTGTATGTGACTGTCAGTGTGTGTCTGTCATTGAATGTGTGTTCAGAGTGTGTGCTTAAAGGGACACTATAGTAGCCCAGACCACTTCAGCTCATTGAAGTGTTCTGGGTGCAGTGTCCCAATCTCTTTAACCCTGCAAGTGTAATTATTGCAGTTTCTGAGAAACTGCAATAATTACCTTGAGGGGTTAACTCCACCTCTATTGACTGTCTACCATACAGCCACCAGAGGGACTTCAGGGAGGTTAGGCGACCAAAAGTCACCTAACTAATGCTGGACGTCCTCACACTGTGCATGAGGACATCAGGCATCTGCTAAATCCCCATAGGAAAGAATTGATACAATGTTTTCCTATGGGGAAGTCTAATGCAAGCGCAGAGGAGGAGCTTGACCCAGCGCCGAGGGACATCGGTGCTGGATTCAGGTAAGTGACCAAAGGGGTTTTAACCCCTTCAGTGCCGAGGGGGGCACTATAGGGCCAGGAAAACAGCTTTGTTTCCCATGCACTATAGTTTCCCTCTAAAAGTAGTAGGAAAAGGTGTAGTTTAAAGAGGAAGAGGTGCGACCTGGACAGGAAAGGGTGGGGCAAAATTAGATTAGGGGGGGTTCCCTGGTTTAGTAATGCCTAGGGCAGCACAAAACAAAAATATACACCTCTGGTCGCACTGCTCAATTCTTTGCCATTTAGAAGTTAAATCACTTTTGTGTATGTTTACACAGTCCTACCCACATCTCCCTGGCTGTGACTGACACAGCCCGCATAAAAACAAAATGGTTTAGTTTTCAATCAAATGTTAAGTTTTTATCTCCTGCTCTGTAAATTGAACTTAAATCACACACAAGAGGCTCCTGCAGGGTCTAGCAAGCTATTACCAGCAGAAGATAAGAAATTCTAAATTAAACAGAATTTGCAATAAAGGAAGTGTAAGCATTAGATGAATCTTTGCAGGAAGTGTTTAGGAAGGCTGTGTGAGTCACATCAGGGAGGTGTGACTAGGGTGGCATAATCAAAGAGATTTAACTCCTAAATGGCAGATATTTTTTGGTTTGTTTAACTATTGATACTATAGTATGTGAAATCAAAAATAAAGCAGAATAGATAAAAAGTAAAAACTAAATTAAAAAAAACTAAAATAACAATCAAGTACACGGATATCTATATGTCCCTATTGATTGGTGCTAGAAGGGTTCCGAGTGTTAACAGTGCAATCTCACTGATGTCCGTGTCAAGTTGAGGCAATTATTTGAGGATTTTTGTCTCTCTTACAGAAGAGATATGTTTGGGTTTTCTGGTCTCCATTGTCATTATAGGGCTTTTTAATGATAGATAGATAGATATAGATAGATACCCACTGCCAGATACACACTCTCGCACACATACTGCCAGGCAGACAACTACAGAATTACAGTGTCAGGTAAACACACTCAAACACATAGATACAATGGCAGTTGCACTGACATATAATACAAACACATTGCCAGTTACACAGATAAACAGACACTCAAACATAACTATTAACATACATGCTGTTTTAGTCACCCTCTATTTTGCCAACCTTTTTGCCACATGAGAGTAACTTCCATGGGGTCTAGTAAGAGCAGACTGCGCATGTGCAGTTAGCAGCTCACTTTTCAACTCCTGTGGGTCTTCTTTAAAGAGCTACATGAAAGAAATATGTCATCACATCCTTCCAGTGTGCCTCACTGTAGTTGGATGGGGGCTGTCAGTACACAGCGGTAACAAACCCACTTTAAAAGAGTCTTGTAAGAGAGATATAAGAGAGATATGTAAGAGAGATATATAATTCCCATTTTTTTCTAGGCATTTGTCAACCCATTACAATTCCATTTTTCATGAATAAACCCCCATATAAAAAGGTCTACACACAGACAGACAGATGAATAGCCACACAGACAATCTTGCCTGTGAATCTTTAAAGTAGGAAACTTGTTCATTGTAACTATCACTTTTAATCTCAACATTTTATTGGCTTTGGCACATGTAATTATGTCACTGCGTTATTTAGTTGCTGTCTGTTTTAAACACTTCATTTTTTAAGATTGAACCATTACCACCCAGTCACCACTCCTTCAAAAATCGTTAAAAACCCACTTCTTCATAAAAGCGTATCAATTAAACTGTTAATAGCTCCTGACGGATTCCTCTTCTGCAACTGTCACTAGTCTAATACTATCCTTACCTTTTGTGCCATTTTACCCCACTCCCTCTAGCATGTGAGCATGGCCCTCAACCCCTCTGTTCCTGTGTGTCCAACTTGTCTGGTTACAACTACATGTCTGTTCGTCCACCCATTGTAAAGCGCTGCGGAATTTGATGGCGCTATATAAATAATAATAATAATAATAATGGGCAGTATGATTGTGGAAATATTCTCTTTGTAATAACACGACTCATCTAAAGCTAGTTTGTAATGATGCCTGACTGGACATGATTATCTAGTCTCAACGATTATCTGTTTTGCTTATTTTAATACTGTCACTAACTTTACAGTATTTGTAATTTACACATAGTACTTAAAATAAACCAATACTTCCTCCCATGATGGAAACAAGATGTGAGTATGTGATAATTAGATCTTAACGACAACACCCTGGGAGTGTTCTGAAAATATTTCAAATGCAGAAGAATGCTGACACGGTTATATAATGTATTCATTTATTACGTTACTTTGTACGTCCCCCAGCTGACCCCCATGCCAAAAGGTTTGCATACAACAAAACTCAACATAATTGCAGACTCACTAACACCGTCACAGAATTTTACCAGCTACAGGACAGCAAGGTGTGGATTTCTACATTCAATATTATTTTTCACATTCCACAAGTACATATTTTAAATACAGGGATAGGTAAACATAATATAACAAAAATCCTAGGACGTGACAGCTCCCTTTTTAACAGCTTCTGAAGTGAGCTCTACCCAGACTAATTAAGTGAGTTAGTCATTTATAATGTTAATTTTCTATAGCAGTACTGAGCCTTTCTTGCACTGCAGTGCGTTATTGGAATAGCAGGAATTTCTGTAACATGTAGATCAGGTGACAGCTTTCTATCGAAGCAAACTGTACTATAACTCAAAATCTCTAGGTGAGCCCTCTATATGTATATGTTTGGAGCCTAATGGGAACCTCTGCAGTATGGCTGGGATGGGGAAATGTTGGGCTTATGGAGCAAAATCATTTTATTTGGTATATCATTTTTTTTTTTTAAATTCTTTATTTTTGAGTGCATAGAGAAAAAAGTTTTGGAGCATGGCCGGGCCTTGTGGGTCTCCGTGTCCAGATGTTGTTAGAAGAGGCTGGCTTCCATGCAGTATCTGTAGCTGGAGTGGAGTGAGGCGTTGCGATCCTCTAGAACCCGGTGCTGCCAGGTAAACTTGTATGACCGTGCTCTCCAGTCGTGCTTTATGCCCCTGGCGGTGTTTCTCGTAGATGATTGGCTTCTTGTGCTGATGTAGGGTGCGCCGCTTGGTCCGCCGCCATTTTGAGGCCCGCTGTGCAGTCGGGACTTGTGGGGTTCTTTCTCCTTTGTTGGGGCTGCTTTTTGGGTAGATGGCTCGGCAGTTGTGAGGCAGGTGGGTGCATTCTGTTCTCCAGTTTGCGCCAAAAGTTTTCAAGTAGCTTGTCTAGTCTGAGCTGGAGGTCAGGCAGCCATCGTCCATTGTCAGGGGTGCTCTGTACCACCATTTTACATGAGCTATCAGTCTTATCATGTCGCTGATCAGGCGTGCCTCCAGACCTCACAACCCGGCTGATGGGTGCCGGGATTTCACTCACCGGCAGGGGAGGAGATTTAGCTGTGCTCTGACAGACCCTGCGGAGGTTTAGGAGCCCGAGAGCAGAGAGATCGGCCGCCTTCCTCCGTCCCTCGTGTAGTAGGCCTCCATCTTCCCGCGATCCAGAACCACCCGACGCCGGTCAAACTCCGATAGGATGAAATGTGTGGGAGTTCATACAAGTGCTGTGAGTATTGCAGTTATCGGTTTTCCGATTAATATCGTAGTTAGTTGATGTTTTAGGCGGTTTTCCCCAGGAGCTTCGACCAAGGTGCGTCCGGCTGGAAATTTATTTTCTGTTAATTTGTTATTTTTGCTAACTTTTTTTAAAACTGAAACTATATTATGTTGAAGATGAGAGATATTAACTGGTGTAGTAATTTACTTCATATAGACTAAAGGCATTGGTCTAACGGCTAGCTCCGCTATTCTCTTATTAAGATCTATAATTTATCTCTAATTTACACATATTTCCATGACACCCCCTCATGTCAAACATATGCTTTAACATACCTTTAAATGGTCTTGTATTTTACAGTACAATGAAACCAATAAGGGTCATTTGAAAATATACACAGGGCCATGTTTACCAGAAAGCCCTTTCTTTTGCCCCCGATGCAGAATTTAGCTCTTGTTAAAGGGACGCTCCAAATACAATAACGATTACAGTGTGCCCTGGTGACCACCGCAATGTAAGCAGTGGTGTATCCTGGTTTTGTGCTGCCCTAGGCAGGACAAAACTCAGGCACCTCCCTCCCCCCGCGCCACCCCCACCCAACCCTTCCCCCCCCGCCCCAGCTTCTAAATACACACACAGTCAGACACAAACACACACACAGTCAGACACAAACACACACACACAGACACACACAGTCAGACACACACAGTCAGACACACACACACAGTCAGACACAAACACACAGTCAGACACACACACAGTCAGACACAAACACACACACACACACAGTCAGACACACACACACACACACACAGTCAGACACACACACAGTCAGACACAAACACACACAGTCAGACACAAACACACACACACACACACACACAGTCAGTCACACACACACACACACACAGTCAGACACAAACACACACACACACACAGTCAGACACAAACACACACACAGTCAGACACACACACACAATCACTCACATCAAATTTTTTTTATTTATTTAACCCCCCTCCAGCCTCCTTACCTTTGGGAATGCTGGGGGGGTTCCCTTTCTCCCTAGTGGTCCAGTGGCTGCTGGGCGCTGGGCAGGCGGATGGTGAGGGAGCTCTTCCTCTGAGCGGTCTGCTCTGCTCCCTCGCGCGCCGCAGAGTGAGGCTGGGAGCCGGAATATGACGTCATCGACCCGGCTCACAGCTTCACTCTGCAGCCGCGAGGGAGCTGAGCAGACCGCTCAGAGGAAGAGCTCCCCCGCCAGCCGCCCGCCCAGCAGCCCGCACGCCCGGCATGTCAGTTAGCCGTGAGGCTAACAAGACATTTGCCCTGGGCATTTGGGGGGCGGCGTTTTTTGCCGCCCCCTGAAAAATGCCGCTCAAGGCAAATGCCTTGTTTGCCTCGCGGCTAATACGCCCCTGAATGTAAGTAGTCAAACCTCTTGGTCTCATTTCTCATTTGGCATCTGCCTGGCGCATCTCTCTGCCTCTCTCCTTCCGGTGCCAAGAGTATCTGTTAGCTCACCTGATCACTCTCAGCCAATGAGCTAAGCCCAGTGCCGCCAGGTGAGTTTGAATGATTAATTTCTCAATCTTCAGCAAAGGGCGAAGGGTTTGGAGGGACCCTGTACTATGACACTCCATTGTAAATTTGTACCCTGACTTCTCAGAGTTCAGTTTCCTTTATTAGAATTTTTACTAAGAATTTCAGAATTTTGCCTGCTGCTATATGTTTTTTTTTTTTTTTTTACTTGGCTTTCTAACAATTGTCTTGTTTTTGAGTGAGTCCTGGGAAGGTTAGTTAGAGGCCTCCATATTCCCCCGCATCCTCACTTGGCCAACCGCCCAGAAAGATTCCTTGTTTATCCACTTATGATAAAGTTTGTCAATCATATATGCTTATATGCTTTAGTGTTTAGAAAGCTTTGTTAGCCATATTAATCATAATTGTGTTATTGGTATAAATATTGATTGTGGGATCACACCACCTCTAGAAATAGAAACGTGTTTGTTTCAGGAACCCACTTGTTGACTTCCCCTGAGTAATGTGGTGTAAATTTGTATGCAGCCCCGTTATCAATTATGTCATAAATGATGTTTCATGCAAGAAGCAGATGATCATAGGGTAGGCAGTGCCACGATTGAACACCCTAGTGTTAATCCGATTACTGGCATCATACTGGCCACTAATGGTTGTCCGGCATCTCTGAGACTATCCATTATGGTATTCATGTCTCCACTGAACTTATACATAGTAGCAGGAAGGAGTACCCAAAGTGATGTCAGTTTACTAGTCAACTGAAGCATCAGCAACATGTTAAAGGGACACTATAGTCACCAGAACATCTACAGTTTATTGTATTTGTTCTGGTGAGTAAAATCAGTCCCTGCAGGCCTTTTGCAGTAAACAATTTTTTTTCTTAGAAAAGGCAGTGTTTACATTACAGCCTAGGGATACCTCCACTGGCCACTCCTTAGATGGCTACTAGAGTGCAGCACTGACATTCTATTTTTCCATCCTCTGCCTGGAGACACTGAACATTCCCCATAGGAATGCATTGATTCAATGCATCTCTATGAGGAGATGCTGATTGGCCAGGGCTTTGTTTGGCTCCGCCCCCAGGTCCCCTTCTTGGCTGAGATAATCAGAATTTATTACCTCAGCCAATCCAATACCTTCTTTTGGGGCGTGGCCAGGGGGTCAGGGAGGCTAGATGATATGTTTAACACTATAGGGTCAGGAATACACGTTTGTGTTCCTGATCATAAGTGCTTCTAATAGAATGCTATGTGAAGTGAACAAGCCTTTACCAGATTTAAGACGCACTGCCAGCTAAGAGCGATGCTGGTAGTTCAGTATTGAACGGGAGCACTAACATCACCTTTGATTTGAATAGGTTTTATGAGACAATGAGAGTTCTAAATGTAAACATTTCTAGTTACTGATAAATAGACAACATGACCAATAGACGTGCAAATATCTTTTAAGTAATTTGTTAGAATAAAATTCCTGGCAATCGTTGGACAAACTGATTCAGAAAATTTGCTTAGTTCACAAAAACAAATTGTATGATTCTGATCCGGTTTGTTTGTTAACTGGCCGAATGTTCAGATATCAGTCAGGTGGATGATTGCAAAGAATCTTATTCTGAAGAATCACTTAAAACTAATTCTCCTGTTTGGGGAGCACAGACTTGTTTCCGATAATAGGTTACAAGTGCCCAATGCTTTTTGTGGCCTTGTAGTATGTATAAAACTTAACTGTTCTTTCTCCATTCTCAGATTGCCTGTTCAAATTTGCTGCACTAAATCATTCTGGCTGTTTCTCTCCTCACTCACTGCTGCTGCTGCTCTCACACAGAGCCTGCTCCTGCTCCCTGCTTCCTCTTGCAGGCATTGCTTTACATTATGCTGAGTTCAAGCAGGAAAGATGCCAAGAGGAGGGTTTCCTGATAACAGACACATAAACCACAGCCTTCTTACCCTGATCATCACTGGCTTGGCACAGACTGAACTGATTGGTGGTGGTGGGGTGTTGTTTTTTAACCTCTGATATGAGAAAAATCTAGACATTTGCACAATGTATAGATTAAATTTGATTCAATAGTATTTAAGATTAAGCTGCATTTGTCATGACAGTTACTGTTTAATTTGGAATGTATAAACTGACTTTGCCTTGTCTGAAGATTATGATGATATTTGCTAAATCTTTCATATAAATTTTAAAGAAAACAGAGCATTTCATGAAAAGAGGTTATAGGGGACGGTTCCCCTTTAAGTACTTTCACAGTCTGCTCATGTCAAAAACATAGACCTTTAATTCTGAACTGACCTCACTTTTCAGGTCTCTCTTGAAGTCAGTTGACTCTCTCCTCTGGTATCTCCCCAGGCATTTGCTAAAACTTATAACAATTACTACACATAACAAAGCAAAGTAAATATGTAAACTTTCCTGCTTCTATCTCAACTTATTTCTCTAACTCCTTAAATGTTTTTTTTAAAATGAGACTCGCCATCAGGGCATCCTCAACTAGATACGTCACCACCTCTGTTTATGGCACAACTCGTTATCATATGAAGGTTCATCTCTGTATCTATTACTCATATGTTAAAAACTTCAGCTTTAGTTTCTAGAGGAAGCTTCCAAATAGGAAATCTATAAATATTTACCTGTAATGCATTGTCTCAATTGCTCACGATATCTAATCACTTTAAATTAATTTGTGTCCCTGAAAATAAACTGGCAGATTGGAATCTTACCTGAAAAACTGGATTCTATTAAAAAATACCTTCTGCCTATACCTTCAACCACCCATTCAAGATTTCAGTGATGAGTTGCAAATGTCTGTTAATAAAGTGGGGTGGCTCCCTTCCAAAACCAGTTTTGTTGGTTTATTTACAGTGATACATAATGATGAATCTTGTAATTAGAATAAAGTAATTATATGGGTTGAATATAATTATTGATGACATCAACTGTAATAGAAATATAAAAAAAAAAAAAAATAATGAAATAGAGTCTTCACTCGCTCAGTACATGCGGAGTGGTAAGATACATTAATGGCAACTCATTATGTCTTGGTTTAAAATGAGATGAGGATTTTATCGACGAAGGGTGTCATGTCAAGGGTGCATAATTCATTGCTGCACTATAGAATATTGCTATTTAATATGATTGGTGGGATTTGAGATGGGAATTTTATAGATGTCAGAAAGTTTACAAAGTGAATTCCTATTTTGAATCTGTGACTCTAACCAGAGCTCGTTAAGCGTGTAATTCAATGTAAACCCACTGACTAATCAACCATATGTCTGTATCTCCTTCTTAGATAGTGGATTCTATTGATATGCTGTGGCCATTAGCAATCAGGAGACAATTCTCTCAGTGTCATATCAAAAGGAAACAAAATAATACCCTAAAAACCCTACCCTTACAAACATGGCAGCGTAACAGTCGTTTGGAAGTAATTGTGAAGCCTGTGGTATTGAGTCATATGTAGGAAGTGTGACAGATCTATGGACTTGATAAATTGCAAAAAAAATTATTAGATGCAAGAATTATCTCCATGGTAAGCACAAGAGAGAAAATGAAATCAGATTATTCTTTGGATTGATGTTTGTCTGAAACACAAGGTTAAGGCCACTTATTGTTCCTCTAGGTGCACTTCACCTCAGCCTATACCACCCCTGGGGCGGCTTAGAAACTTGAGATGAATACAGGATATATATCACTGCAATGATGTCTAGTGTCTAGTGTGCTTACTAGGGGCCAATTACTAATTTTGTGTAAGTTGCCATCTTACCTTGTCAGAGCCCAACTGGAAAGAAAATAATGTTACTTTACCATCTAAGTGAGTAGTTACCTTTTCTGTTAATTTCTCCTTTTTATTTGTAACTGTTGTTGGTGTAAATATTTTGGATATCATTTGTTTTTGAATGCACTGTGACTATTGTATTGTTAATAATGAATAATCCTTCATTAGGGAAGACTCACGTTACCTGATTAGACCAATTTACCAGTCATTTGAAATCGCACCGATATTGTGTTAAATTGTATTTTGTGTTTTTATTTTGGGAGGGAGGTGGGGGGAGGCAAGGCATCCCATTTATAAATTGACTTGGTGGTAGTAGCGTTATATTACTTATATTATTATAATTAAGTAGGTGCTGTTTAGGAAAATTTTAATTATAATTCTCGGTCTAGTGCAGACAAATAGTGCAGTTTAACCCTTACACTACAAGAACCAAGTCGTCATAGCTTGGCCTATTAAAAAACCTTTAACTTAAAGGACCACTATAGTGCCAGGAAAACATACTCGTTTTCCTGGCACTATAGTGCCCTGAGGGTGCCCCCACCCTCAGGGACCCCCTCCCGCCCGGCTCTGGAAGGGGGAAAGGGGTTAAAACTTACCTTTTTCCAGTGCTGGGTGGGGAGCTCTCCTCCTCCGATCCTCCTCCGTTCCTCCTCCTGGGCTGAATGCAATGAATACAATGCTTTCCTATGGACGCTTGCGTGCTCTCACTGTGAAAATCACAGTGAGAAGCACGCAAGCGCCTCTAGTGGCTGTCAATGAGACAGCCACTAGAGGATTAGGGGGAAGGCTTAACCTATTCATAAACATAGCAGTTTCTCTGAAACTGCTATGTTTATAAAAAAATGGGTTAACCCTAGCTGGACCTGGCAACCAGACCACTTCATTAAGCTGAAGTGGTCTGGGTGCCTAGAGTGGTCCTTTAACTAAAGACTTGTGTCAGCTTTAACCCCTTAATGAACAATGGCATATCATGCAAGTCATAATAACATAGTGGGATTTGCCAAACTCCTTGGCATGATACAGTTAAAATATGACAAACAGGCTGATTTTATTATAGTATTTCATAATATATAACAATAATAAAAACAATGTTTATTGCTGTACTCTCATATGAGCTCTGTGCTATTTTATGTCATGGCCAATGGTCATATTAAAGCAACAACGTGCACAGATGGGTGTTATGTTACAGACTAGACCAGGGGTAGGCAACCTTTCAGTAGAACTGTACCAAAAAAAGATTTCAAAGTCTCTTGGCGTGTCGATCCTCGGTTTAAAAATTGAGATGTGCCTGTTGCCGTACTTTGCTTGTGTTATTTATGGGTGCTGCAGTTGCTTTGTAGCGTTGTACTTGTGCATTTGTGAGCTGCTATATTATAAGGTATATGTTCATGAGTAGTTTGTGAAATTGTATATTATCCCTATGAAAGTGGGGTGTGTCTGGGGGTTGCTTGTGTAATATGTCACAGTTAGAGTTGAGCGGACATTCGGATGTTCAGGTCCGGTGGGTTCGGACGAACTTTGAAAAAAAGTCCGGGTTTGGGCCCGAACTTGACCCCGAACTTGACCCCGAACCCGAACCCCATTGAAGTCAATGGGGACCCGAACTTTTGGGCACAAAAATCACTCTAAAAAAGTATTGGAAAGGGCTAGAGGGCTGCAAAATGAAGTAAAATGGGGGTAAGAGTAGGACAAGTGCCATGCAAACAAATGTGGATAGGAAAATCACTTAAAATACATAAAATAAGCAGCCGCTTAGTAGATAACTCCCTAATTCCCACGGTATTAGGGAGCTATCTACCAAAAGGATGAAAGACCTAAATTGGTCTATTTAGCCACATTTACTAATACTAAGTAAAGATTACTTAGTATTAGTAAATTCAGCCCCTACTCGCTATACCGTGAGTAGGGGCATGTCTAGTAAACAGTGAGCAACAAACAAAAAAACCTATTGCCCCCACCCCTGTGCGACGGGTGGGGGCCCTAAATAAGGATGTGGAGGGGGGGATCTACTGTCCTCCCCCCCAGCCCCCACCCCTGAGCGGTGGGTGGGGGCCCTAAATAACAATAAGGGGGGACCAATTTTCTCACCCCGGCCCATAAATAAGGGGGGGTCCTAATGTCCTCCACTCCGGCCCCCACCCCCTGCGCGATGGGTGGGGGCCCTAAATAAGAATTTACCCCCACAGGTGACTAGGGGTCCCCAAAAAAAATGACCCCTACCTACCCCCCTCATTCTAAAAATAATGAGGGGAGACCCTTATCTAAATACCTGTAAAAGAAAAAAAAATAGACTTACCATTTGATGTCTTCTTTCTTCTAAACTCTTCTTTTTTCAGCCCCAAAAAAGGCCAAATAAAAATCCATAATAACCGACGCACTTAAAAAAAAAAAAGACCGCCCAAAAAAATAAAATCTATTTTTACCCATGGAGGGCTCCGCGCAGAATGAGCTCTGCAAGGCGGGGGAAGGCTTAGAGCCCTGCAATTAGGCGCAGAGCACTCTGATTGGTGGGTTTAAGCTATCCAATCAGAGTGCTCTGACAGGTAAATGAAGAGACTGACAGGTAAGTCTCTACATTTACCTGTCACTGCACTCTGATTGGTCAGCTTGAAATCCACCATTCAGAGTGCTCTGTGTCATTTTTCACAGCGTGGGAAAATTCCAAAGAACTTTCCCACACTGTGTAAAATGACACAGAGCACCCACCCCTGCGCGGTGGGTGGGGGCCATAAATAAAAAATCCCCTTCCCCCAAAAAAATTACCCCTACCCATCCACCTCATCCTAAAAATAATGAGGGGGGACCCTTGGCTAAATACCTGTAAAAAAAAAAAATAGGGGTGAGGGCCGGGGGAGAGGACAGTAGGTCCCCCCCCAATTTTTATTTATGGCCCCCACCCACCGCTCAGGGGTGAGGGCCGGGGGGGGGGAGGACAGTAGGTCTCCCCTTATTGTTATTTAGGGACCCCACCTGCTGCGCAGGGGTGGGGGCCAGGGGGGGGAAGACAGTAGGTCCCCCCCATTATTGTAATTTAGGGCCACGCTGAGTAAAATGACACAGAGCACTCTGATAACTATATATATTGTATATATTATTATAAAAAATAAATAATAATTAATTAAAAAGAAATACATTTTTTTAAAATAATAAAAAAATTATATATATATGTAATTTTATTCTAACTGTATTTTGATATTAATATATATATTTATATCAAAATACACTTAGAATGAATTTATATATATATATATATATGTATGAATGTATAAATAAATAGAAATAATATTAAATATACATATGTCCATATACATAATTACATAAATAATTTCATAAATATACACGTAGACATCAAATATATAAATATGTATATGTATTTAAATTCTACGTGCATATTTATGTAATATTTTTACATAATTAAGTATTTTTATTGATTTGGGGGACCTGACTGACAATCCAGGCCAAAAGTCCATTTAATTTGCTAGCACTATATTTAACCCTGTAACTTTCCGAGACACACTAAAACCTGTACATGGGGGGTACTGTTTTACTCGGTAGACTTTGCTGAACACAAATATTAGTGTTTCAAAACAGTAAAACATATCACAGCGTTGCTATTGTCAGTGAAAGTGACGTTTTTTGCATTTTTCCCACACAAACGGCACATTCACTGATGATATTGTTGTAATACGTTTTACTGTTTTTAAACACTAATATTTGTATTCAGCGAAGTCTCCTGAGTATAACAGTACCCCCCATGTACAGGTTTTAAAGTGTTTTTGAAAGTTACAGGGTCAAATATAAGGCAGTTTTTTCACATTGAAATTTGCCAGATTGGTTATGTTGCCTTTGAGATGGTATGCTAGCCCAGGAATGAGAATTACCCCCATGATGGCATACCATTTGCAAATGAAGACAACCCAAGGTATTGCAAATGGGGTATGTTCAGTCTTTTTTAGTAGCCACTTAGTCACAAACACTGGCCAAAGTTAGCATTCATAATTTTTTTTGCATTTTTAACACACAAGCAAATATAAATGCAAACTTTGGCCAGTGTTTGTGACTAAGTGGCTACTCAAAAAGACTAGACATACCCCATATTGAATACCCTGGGTGGTCTACCTTTCAAAAATATATGACTTGATGTGGGTAAATTACATTGGCCGGCTTAAAAAATGTCCCAAATAGGACATGGGTGCATGATGACTATCTGTGAAAATTCCAAGTTGGAACACTGGAATGCGCACCCTCCAAATAAGGTATTTTAGCCCCCAGAGAACCTGACATACCTATACATAGGTAGTATCACTGTACTTAGGAGATGTTGCTGAACACATATTGGGGTGTTCTTTGGCAGTAACCCTTAAAGTTCTCAGTACATGTATTCTTAAATTGCTATGTGTGTCAAATAAAATCACCAATTATTATTATTATTTTTTTTAAATTGGGCATAGATTGGTGGTAAAATGGTTGTTTAATACCTTAGGTTGTCTTTTAAAAAATATATACATATGAAGGGTTATTGATTGGGATTTCTGACAGATATCAGTGTTACAATGCAACTTGCATTCATTTTGGAAAAAAAAATGGTTTGGAAATAGCAATGTGCTTCTTGTACTTATAGCCCTATAACTTTCCAAAAAAAGCTAAAAACACGTTAACATTTGGGTATTTATAAAACCAGGACAAAATTTAGAAACTATTTAGCACTGGTGTTTTTTGGTGGTTGTAGATGCGTAACAGTTTTGGGGGTCAAAGTTAGAAAAAGTGTGTTTTTTAAAAAAAAAAGGTTTGCATCATATTTTATAACTTATTTTATAGTAAATTATATGATATGATGAAAACAAAAAATGGTATCTTTAGAAAGACCATTTACTGGCTACAAAAATGCTAAATGATATGTGTGGGTACAGTAAATGAGTAAGAGGAAAATTACAGCTAAACACAAACACTGCAGAAATGTAAAAACACCCCTGGTCCCAAACAGTAAGAAAATTGAAAAGCGGTCTGGTTACTAAGGGATTAAAAGCACCTCGAGTGACATGCATGGCCCACATGTCACGTAGGTTGCTGACCTCTGGACTAGACTAAAGCAAATAGATGGGTCATGAGTTTTTTTTTTTTTTAAATATGTCTATTAAAGGAGTTTCTTTGTGTGAGGTAGGGAGAGTTACATGCCATTGCAAATGCATTATATGTTGATATATGTTGTAATATTGTTTTTTCTAATTGTTCCTTATGCACTTCCAATGATATCAAACTCTTTAAAAATCATATAACATTTTAAATTAATTTGTAGTTAGCCCTGAACAGAAATTCATACACAAAATGATTGCTTAACAACTGGGGAAAATGTGTCAGTGTGCATATTTGTACATTGTTTGTATGCTAAATAAATTGTTATTTAATGTTAACCCCTTTTTAATATTGGTAAAAAAAAAATGTTTCTGTGCCCCTCAGCCCCCATCCCATATGGGATTCTGGATCTGCATATCCTGTTTTATCCTGTGCTTATGTGCTACCTATGCATCAGTATACATAAAATGTGTTATGCTAAGATTTGTAAACAAAACACAAGTTGGCATTGAAGGAGTTAACAAATCGAATGTATTATCTGATTTTCAGCACATTCTGGGAAGACATGTGTCCAGTAGAAGATAAGATGAACTTCTGGTTGTCCAGAGAAGTTCTTATCTCCAGAGAGATACAATCTTTCTCTGTGCAATGGTGACAGCAGCAGAGTGTGACCATCAAAGTGAAACAGATTGCATCTAAAATACATTTCGCAAGCAACATGCTACAGAGCATCTCATGATTATCACTTCTCGAGATCAACAGTTCCTCCCTATGCTCCTCCTTCCATACAGGGCTGAAGTCCATGATGATAACTCAGTTAGATATTATGACAGTGCTATGATTGTGACATAAGGTCAGGTTGCTCTCAGGTTACAGCTGTGGTCCCATCCCTGGGTGAATTAAGACAATGACCTGCGCTTTGACATATCTACTCCTATCCCCAGCTGCCCCAGCAAACAAAGGACACATGTCTGGAGGAGAGCTCCTCAAGATGGCCATAAGCCACCAACTCACCGCTTTAAACACCCTCAGGGATTTGTTTGAGAACCGGTTTTCCAGCAGTTTGAGACAAGGCTATTTAAAAGGGGACTTGGATACAACATTGCAGTTGATGAGCTCTTTGTCACTGCTCAGTGACAATGCAGAGGTGAACGCTTCAAGCGGTGGAGAGTGCAGCAACAGCAGCCAGAGTCTCATCAGTAGCATGGACCAGACAGATCAGGGAGCACAGGGTCCTGGGGAACCCCAACCTTCTGCAGCCCCCACACTAAACAGTGCACCCCAAGATCATGTCAACTCAGCAACCAGCTCCAGGACTGTCCCAACACTGGCACAGATTGCTTCCTTAAACAGGTTCTTCAGAGTCCTTAAATGCACGGTGCAGCTATTGTATGTGGAAATAAATGCACTCAGCCATCTCCCAGGGGATCCTGTAATTACCATCAGACTCAAAGTAAGTCTTATTTATCTTTCCACTCGTGGCGTTAGCCTGCCACCTAGTGTTGAATGATAAGTAATGCGCAGAGCATGTTGTGTTATGGAAATGTATCAATATTACATTGTATTGTTACTGTGAATCACAACTGTGGTCTATAAACGGGACTATCCTGGACACTTATCAGTTCTTCATGCTGATTGGTAGAGCATGGAAAAGTAGATAGCAAGCATATACTGCACGAAGGAAATCCGTTATTTAGTTGCTTTCCCTCCTACAGCATATTAATTCTGTATACTGCAGAGCAGCATTCTTCATTTACTATCAGTATGAAAAGGTTATTTATGTCCAAGAAACTTTATTGAATATGATAAAACTTGGAACCTGGAACATTGTTTTAAACTCTGAGCTAAAACTGTTGTAAACTGAGAATTCTATCTGCTGGGCATACGTAGATTCAATTAGCAATATACTAGATATTTTAATAGATTTAAAAAAATAAATAAAATGTCAGCTTTCTCCATCACTATCCAATATAGCCTTGTTATCAGTATTTCATAAATCTCACATTTTGTTCAATGCATTTACCTGTAGACCCATGACAAAAACAGGGTTATTTACTAAGTAGTCAATTCTATATTCACTTTGTCTCAATTGGTCTTAAATTTTAAATTGACTTTGAATTTCCAGAAATGCCCCCTTTAGTAAGTAAAATGTTTAGTTTCTTTATGAACACCTCTGAAGGGTTTTACGAGACAACACAGCAACTTCATTGTAGTTGCTGGGAATGTTTTACCATGGTAGGAATCCTGGGCATTAACAAACATAGCCATTCGAATTATTTATCGTTTTATTTTTTAAATTTTTATTTTTATTTTTAAAATTCTTTATTTTTCATTCAATAAACATAACAGGTGTACATTCACTTTTGGGCTTACCCAGAAGTCAATTGAAATACAAGTCTTTGTAACAGAATACAATTTAACATATGCGATACATGCCCATTCCTTAAAAAACATTGGCACCCGCCGTCTACTGAGGAATTTTATTTTAAACAAGGACAGGCAGTTAGGGGATACAAGTAGCCCATTCTAATCAATAACCGTTCTTGTACATGTGCTACATTATTCCAACGACCGTATGATCATGCCTGTATTTATCGTTTTAAAGAGGCGGTAAGTGATGACAAACCGATTTGGGCAAAGTGCACGATAATTATCAAGAACCCTGCCAAGATAGTGTATTAAATATTTTGTGCCTCCATTTCTAACATTAAAATTTAAATTTTTAACTTTATAAAAACTAATCCTAAAATCTCCAAACCTTACCCAAAAATGGTAACCAAATGAGTAAAAAATAACACGAAAATAAATTATATTCTGATGATGCTGAGCATTTGTGATGAGCCAAAGGCAAAACTCATTGGTGTTTAGCATATTTTTATGAGTGCATTATTTACTAACGGACTCTGTTCAGACAGTGATTTAAAGACTGGCTTGAAATATTTAGGCTAAAATATATCTACATTATTAGATTTTTTTCACTAGTTTTACTACTCTGAATTCACTCAAATTTACAAAAATACACACTTTAGTTAATAACCTTGCCCATGTTCAAGCTTTCTAGACAACTCAGCTCTCTTTTTTTGGGTATTAAATAAACATATACAGTAACACAATATATTGTTTAGATTGACTTTAGTGGCAAATGGCCTATTTTTTAATTGTACCATTTGTTGTACAAAGTACCATTTATCTAAATGAAAATGTATTCATTCAAAACCAAATTGATGTGAACTGAAAACCATATTGCAAAATCATTACAACCAGTACAGTCCGCTGTAGTAGTTATGGTGCCAGGAGTATACTGGCCCTGTATTCCAGCAATGGGCAAACTGTTTAGCAACCTTACCGGCTTCACCATCAAAGCTTCTTGGTTTTCTAGAAACAGATTTCAGACTTCTGCAGAGCTGCAGACTTCCAGAAACTGAGGTTGTCATCATTCATTGGCTGAGAGCGTTAGCTGATCACTCTCAGCCAGTAACTGGCATTCTTTGCAATGACATTTGCACAGAATTGACATTACCCAGGCCTGAACTCTGGCGTGGTTAATGACACCCCAATGATAACCCCATAGTGAAGTTACGCCTCCAACCGCAGAGGGGTTATACTCTGTATGCACACTATCTCATAGTGAAACGCTGCACATACAGACGCCAGGAACAATGGCCACTTCAAATCACTGAAGTGGTCATGGTGCTTGGAGGAAGTGGTCGTGGTGTTTCGAGTAACCCTTTAAACACCAAGTCTCCAGTTGGACTATTATGGCTTACAATTTGCAATTTGGTTTACATTTACTATAATTCAGTGTTTAGTGAATAAACTTGATTGTATCATGTCAGGTAATTTAAAGGTTGTCATGTATACCTCTATATTATAAAAAAGTGAGTATTTTTTAGCCGATAGATAATGAAAAAAGAAAATGCTAAGTATAGAAATTTCCCAGGCTGGCTATTTTACCCTTTGTTTAACAAGTCGATTGCCAATGTACTTCATTGTTTAGTCAATAAACCCACATGGATTGTAAATTATTATAGTCATCTTTAGTGGAATCTTTTGTGAACAGCCATGTTTCCTCTACCTACTTCATCTTTCTACCCTAAGCATTGTCTGAACAGAAGGAGCATTCCTGCACCAGAATTTTGCACCAGGCTATTTAAAGGAAGTTAATGTATCTCTAATAATGAAATATTCAAGTGTTGCTTTAAATTTAGGGCCGCACTAAAATGTGTAAAACAGGAAGTTATTCACTCAGGAAGTTTTTTCATCGATGGTCTCCTTACTATAGTTCCATTTCGTATGTTGAGGGACATCTTTGGCCATTCCAATTTTTCTCATAGAGAAGCAATGGGGTCCTGCTCTACATGCATTGTACTTGCCATGTTTCGTCAATATAATGCTTCTCATAGAGAAGATTCAGGGTCCTGCTCTATATGCATGGTACTTGCCATGTTTCGACAATATAATGCTACTCATAGAGAAGATTTGGGGTCATGCTCTAAATGCACAGTACTTTCCATGTTTCGCTAATATAACGCTTCTCATACAAAAGATTCGTGGTCCTGCTCTACATGCACGGTACTTGCCATGTTTCGACAATATAATGCTTCTCATAGAGAAGATTCGGGGTCCTGCTCTACATGCATTGTACTTGCCATGTTTTGCTAATATAATGATTTTCATAGAGAAGATTCGTGGTCCTGCTCTACATGCATGGTATTTGCCAGGTTGCGTCAATAGAATGCAGAAGCATTAAATCAAGGGATTTGCAAATTTTTCTCATCTAATCTTTGCCTCACATTGCTTTTTATTGTAGCATGTAGGTATTCCTTTTAAAGCTGATTAGTTAATGAGACACATGCTGATTTCATAACTTTGAAATCTATTCAGTATGTTTAGGGAGTGGGGTTGGCAATTTAATAGGTTGAGTACAGTTTTGAGTGAAAAAAAACCCTAGCGAATGAGGTTCCCGTGTGAAGTGGCATGAAACGCGTCAGGGTTGCCCTTCATTTTGCCCCCCGCACGTTCATATATTTAAATTTCTTCTTGACTAAAGGAATATTTTAATCTGTTTGATGGAGTATGGCAATCAAGTCCTGTATGCAGGACCCAGCACTGGTGATGTAATGTATGTGGGAGAAACCCCCTGTGTGCACTTGGGATTGCATAATGAGTTAAATACAGTTTTGAATGAATAAAACCCTAATGAATGAAATATTGTATGTCAGGCATGTCTGTGTGTCACACCCGGAAAAAATTTATGGGAGAGCTTTACATTTCCCCATAAACATCTGCACAACACTTTCCCTGTTATTTGTTCCAACGGAAGAGAAAGACTAGGAAATAAAGATAAAATATATTTTAAAAAAACAAAACAAACAAACAAACAAAAACATTTCTTTTTAAAAAGGTTTGCATGATGGTCAATCTTAATGATAACTACTCTGTTATAAGAACCACATTTTTAAATCTGGTTTCCTAAATACTTAAAATACGGCTGCAGCAACTAATTAATGTTGTACAAAACACACATACACAAAACACAAAAAACCCCCCAACAAAAACAGCGAAATAAAAATGCAGAAGTCACCAGAGTCAAATGTTTCACAAGAGTAAAGTTCGCCTTTGAATCTAGTTATTATTTACTGTAAATGCAGAAGACTGCTATTGGAATTCACCATACAGTTACACAAACACCATGTCATGCTGTAATAAAACTCGAGTCCAGGGATGTATGACCAGACCTGGAGAGATCTGGAAGCCGAAGGATCAATAAGAGACAGAGATACTAAACAATTCTTTCCTATGGGGATTTCACTGATACCCAGCGTAGTTTAATGGACTCAGAGTCTGTCAGAATACAGGAAGTGCCTCTAGTGGCTGTCTGATAGACAGTAACTAAATGCAGTTTTAGTCCTGCAAGGTAATTATTACAGTTTCTCTAAAGCTCCAATGTTTTATACTGCAGGACTAAGGGGGACAGGGACACTGCACCCTGACGACTTCAATGACATGAAGTGGTCTTTGTTACTATAGTGTCCCATTAAGTATTTGTAATAATTAAAAAAAATAAAATGTATAGATATATTGAAGCGCTATATTTCGAGTGAGTGCAATAAAAAATATAAATAGTGATTTCACCCTAAATTTGTCACTTATAATTAGTTATGTGATATTCAATTTTTCAACAATCCAGTATGTATACCTTAAAAAAACAAAACCGTAAATATACAAAAAAGTGTATGACCTTTTAACTAATATAGTGCAGAAATGTTGTTAGAACATACTCCTGTCCTGTCCTTGGTGATCACCAGAATTACCTACCATGACCTTGTACTTCTATCCAGACCAAGACCAAACCCTTTAAAGTACTTGGTGACACACCATTGAAAAACATACAAGGCGGTCAGTTTAGGAAAGTGTTTAATTCTGTATCACAAGAGAAATAGTTTTATAATAACAATCAATAAAGGAGTCTACGGGGAGTATCATTAATTACCAATCAAATATGGACAACTATTAGGTAACGTCATGAAAAGCTCTGGGAAAGCATATAATAAAATGTGTCAAGACTATGTTTGTGGCGCTCTGGTATGGTCTACGTATGTCCATGTGATGTACAAGGTTGTTAGTGTTATGATTCAGTTGGACATAAGTTAACCCTATCAGTGATGAGTTGTTTTTCAGGTCCCACATTAACTCTTTTAGGGATGGAGGGTTAGTCAGTCTCATATTAAACCTTACAAATGTCAAAAATAGAGCACTCACATATTCCAGAGCTATTAGAGCTAGCTCTGTCTGTAAATGATTCTGTGTCCATACCACATCTCCCAGGAACAAGATGATCAGGTAACAAAAATATTTTATCAATAAAACAAATACATTTGAAAAAAAAAAAATGAAAACAGAATAAAATAATGAATAAAAATATATATTTATGGTTGTAAACAGTACTCAAGAAACACATTTAATCCATACTGTTTCTTAGCAAGGTGTAATAACGTGACTGGCCATCCCCCCCCATACATACCATTTTCATTATAATTAAAATGTTTCCGTCTATAGTCGCTAGCATTTGCAACACTATTCAGTCAGACAAGCGCTCCTGTTACATGCTGGTAGTGTAGCTCCATGGTACTAAACTCAGGAGTCAGGCTATTGCCCAAACTTCTCATTGATCTGTAATAGAACTCACGGAAAAGTCTGTGATTGGCCAGCCACAGAACGTCTGCCCTGGGAAAGAAGGGGTTTGTAGTAGCTGCAGATACTCGTAAAGAAAGTGACAATCCATGATCTCCTTGCAATAAAAGGGCTTTAACACCATAAGGAAGACATGGAATGTTCTAATATTTTGGTGCAAACAGAGTTAAATCCCTGCTCACACCAGGGAGACCCAGGTGTCATGCATGCTTGGCACAACATACGCATTAGGTCCCCACATTAGCTGACTTCCGAGGAGGAGGACCCCAACCCAGCACCCAGGGATTTAACAATCAGGACTGATAAGTGAATCTGTTTTAAGTTTTTTTCTTTAGTTATACTTCATGTGTAAGAATTATTATAAGCAAAACTGTAAATAATTTAGTTTTCCCCCCATTATTCCACTTTAAAAAATGCTATTTATATTTATTGCAGTATAAGGTTTGCATTTAGGATATTAAAAGAGAGCCATGTCTCTCATTTAGAAAACAACATATAAAATGTATGGGTGCACTCAGGGCCGCCACCAGAAATTTTGGGGCCCCTAACTGAGCTCAGGGTCTGGGCCACCAGGGGCCCGCCTCCAAAACCGCCCACAGAGACCGCCTCCAAATCCCGCCCACAGGAATACACACACAGACACAAAAGGACACAGATACACACACACACACACACACACACACTGATACATACAAACAGACACACATACTGATACGCATATAGGCATACATACTGACACACACATACTGAGCCATACACACATATACAGACACACAGGCGTACATAGTGACAGACACATACTAACATGCATACAGACACACATGCATAAGGACATACAGACACAGACACATTCATAATGACATACAGACAGACATACATTCATACTGGCATACAGACACTGACATCTGTACACACATACATACATTCATAATGACATACAGACATACATTCATACATACATTCATACAGACATTGACATCCATACATTCATACAGACATTGACATCCATACATACACACATTCATAATGACATGCAGACATACATACACTGACATTCATACACACATAATGACATACATACATACAGACATGCATACAGACAGACAGACATGCATACAGACATACATACATGCATACATACAGACATACATATACATACAAACACATACACACATACATACATAGACAGACAGACACAGACATACAGCCAGACAGAGAGAGACAGACAGACAGGCAGACATGCATACAGACAGACAGACAGACATACAAACAGACATACGCATACAAAGACATACAGACAGACATACATACATATACATACAGACAGACATAGATACAGACAGACATAGACATACAAACAGACATGCATACAGACAGACATACATAGACATACAGATAGACATACAGACATGCATACAGACAGACACACATAGACATACAGACATGCATACAGACAGACATGAATATAGACAGACAGACAGACATACATAGACATACAGACAGACATTCATACAGACAGACATACATAGACATACAGACATACAGACAGACATGCATATAGACAGACATACAGACATGCATACAGACATACATAGACATATAGACATACAGACAGACATACATACATGTATACAGACAGACATACATAGACATACAGACAGACATACATAGACATACAGACAGACATGCATATAGACAGACATACATACATGCATACAGACATACATACATGCATACAGACAGACATACATAGACATACAGACAGACATACAGACATGCATACAGACAGACATACATATAGACAGACAGACATGCATACAGACAGTTATAGAGACATGCATACAGACAGACATGCATACAGACAGACATAGAGACATGCATACATACGGAGAGACATACATAGATATACAGACATACAGACAGACATGCATATAGACAGACATACAGACATGCATACAGACAGACATAGACATACATAGACATACAGACAGGCATATAGACAGACATGCATGCATACAGACAGACACACAGACATGCATACAGACAGAAATACAGAGCTCATTTTCCAGCCACCCTCCTGTCTCTTACCTTGTCTTTGCAGGAGGGTGGCTGGGGCTGATAGGACTGGGAGTCGGCTGGCTCTCCCTCTTCACTGCCACGAGCGCACTCCTCCCGAGCGGAGTGAGCTGGGAGTGACCACTTCCTCCCAGCAGCACTTGCGCTGCGGCTGCATTTGAATTTTTTTTAAAAGGGGCCCGGTCACGCTATAACACGGCCACAGCGCTGACCGGGCACCTGAACATATAGGGCCCATCGGGTGGCCCTAAGTGCATGGGCCACCCGATGGGCCCCATCAGCGTGCGGGCCCCGGTGCAAGTGCACCGGCAGCAGTTCCGCCGCCACACGTGGGCCCCGGGCCAGGCCCCCCTGGGCCGCCGGGCCTGTGACAACCATTATGGTTGTCACCCCCTGATGACGGCCCTGGGTGCACTTATAAGATCTGTCCAGCCATTACTGTTAATGGAGCATCACGATTGGCTAATTAGCTTCTTGTTATGGGCATAGTTCCCTGCAAATGCTGCAAAGCCTGGGGATTTACAGCAAATGCATTTTTAAAGTGATATTATTTTTGTGATATTATTTTTAATAACACATACTATAATATCAATGGTATAATTAATGAGTACTATAATATTAATTCATTTTTATTTCACTCCCTTTTTCTATATTATAGGATAGCATTGAATTCAGAAATGTCTGTACCCACATGACACTACAGAAAGAAGACCGACTGTTTGATCAGGATCTGACTTCGGCAAATGAAATATTAAGGACAATAATCACAGATCTGCTGCAAGCGCTCTCCTCTTTTACATCTGAATTTATAGACAAAGTTACCAATCAATTAAATCAAATACTGCAAATACTGCAGTTCTGACAGTCTTGTAGTAATGTTTGTTTTGTTTCTAATTTCAATCCAGTGTTATATTTTTATTATAGTATTTGTATTATAAATATTTTACTTATTTGAGTTTATTTAAAACTGATGTAAATGTGAACTAGCTGACAATGTGCCAGTTTGTAAATTGTTGGAAATTACAGTATTTGTGTAAATAACTAATTTAATCCATACCTTTTAAAAACTTAAATATACTTCTCAAAATGTTTTTACCTTATTTCGATAGCCTCCTTTTAGTGATCATTGAGCAACGTGAAAGAGTACTTTAACTATTGAGCTGAATTTAATTTAATTGTAAAAATAAATGGTGTGTGAAACAAAGTTACAATAATGATGACTATTAGTATAAAAATATCACTTGCAAGCAGGGCCGGATTAAGAGCACAGTGGGCCTGGTGCTGACAATTATGATGGGCCTAATTACGGAATCTTATCGATCAAAAACACTAAAACAATCATACCTCCTAAGCGTCATGTATCTGATGGAGATGGTGCTGGAGGGAAACTCATAGGATGCAGCTATAAGAAAACACATACTCTATGCTAATTTCTCTATAATTTATGCTTTCATCTTTCAAGTAAATCCATAACCCCTAACAGCAGTGTCCAGTGAAGCAGGAAGTCAATGGACGGGGTAAAAGGGTGTGCCACTGGCGCGAGTCACGTGACAAGACCTGCCAAAAGGGGTGAACATGCCCAAAAAGGGGGCATGTTTGTCCAAAGAATTGGAAGGTCAGCCTGGTGTGAATGCATGTCAGGCTGCCTGCCAATCCTGCAGGCTGTCCAACTAAGGGCATACTATGCAGGCAGCACCTTGAGCTTGACATAAATGCGTCTAATGATGCGCTCACTCCATTCTTTCTGAGGACTGCCCCATAGCACTCCCTGGTCCACTTGTCTCCTTACCTTCTTACTAGCAGGCAGAAGTTCCTGGTATATAGTCTGAGATAGAGAAAAGGTGTCTGTAGTGAGTGTAGAAGAAAGGGGACATGCCACAGTGTTAGAGAGACCAACGTCTGCATTACCTAAACTAACTTTAATGTCAGCCACTGCACACAAGTTTTGTTCCCATACATCCCTCTTAAGCTTCCAAACTTAAAGGGACACTATAGTTACCAGAACAACTACAGCTTATTGTACTTGTTCTGGTAAGTAGAATCATTCCATTCAGGCTTTTTGCAGTAAACACTGTCTTTTCAGAGAAAATAACTCCACTGGCCGCTCCTTAGATGGCTGCTAGAGGTGCTTCCTGGGGCAGTACTGCCTAGTGTGCAGCACTGCCATTCAGTGTCTCCACCCTCTGCATGCAGACACTGAACTTTCCTCATAGAGATGCATTGATTCAATTTATCTTTATGAGGAGATGCTGATTGGCCAAGGCTATGTTGGACTTGTGCTGGCTCTGCCCCTGATCTGCCTAGTTGACAGTCTCAACCAATCCTATGGGGAAGTATTGTAATTTGTCAGACCACCACTTCTGAGCCAGCAGCTGGAGAATTGAATACAAGTAATATTTTACTATATTTAGGGAGGCAAGAAGGGTGGTGGTTTTAACATAATAGGGTCAGAAATACAGGATTGTGTTCCTGACCCTATAGTGCTCCTTTAAGCAAGAGTATGTGAAGAGTAGTTAAGGTTTCCACCTTTCTTGGGAAAATATACCAGCCTTAATCATTTGTATAATTAATTAGTTATGCGTGACATCACATGATGTAAATCACAAGGAGTGATATCAGAGAAAAATCTGTAAACTTACCAACAAACTACTCACAGTTTGATTCTTCTGTATAGATGGATTGCTCCCAGTGTCTCCTTGCCTCCCAGTGTCTCAGTCTCGCAAGTCACCTAGTGTCTCAGTGTCCCTATGTATCACAGTGTCAGTGTCCCCATGTCGCCCAGTCCCCTAGTCTCCCAGTGTCTGTGTCCCCATTTCTCCCAGTGTCCCAATGTCCCCCCCATGTCACTAGGATACTGGGGACACTGAGAGACATGGGGACACTGAGAGACATGGGGACACTGAGAGACCCGGGGACACAGAGAAATGAGGACACTGAGACATTTAGGGAAACTGGGAGAAATGTGGACACTGAGACACTAGGGACACAGACACTGGGAGACATGGGGACACTGAAACATTTGGGGACACTAAGACACTAAGGACAAAGACATGGGAACACAGACACTGGGAGACTAGGGGACACTGGCTGGGAGACATACACTTGGGGACACTGGGAGACATGGGTACAGTTGTGGACATAGACATGTGGACACTGGGACATATAGGGACACTGGGAGACATGGGGACACCAGGCACACTGAGACACTAGGAACACAGACACTGGGAGACATCTAGACACTGAAACATTTGGGGACACTAAGACACTAGGGACACAGACACTGGGAGACTAGGGGACACTGGGAGACTAGGGGACACTGGGAGACTAAGGGATACTGGGAGACTAAGGGACACTGGTTGGGAGACAGTTGTGGACATAGACATGGGGACACATGGGGACACTAGGCACACTGAGAGACATGGGACACAGACACTGGGAGACTTGGGGACACTGAGACACTAGGGACATTGGCTGGGGGACATAGTGTCTCCGTGTCCCAATGTCTCAGTGTCTCCCAATGTCCCTATGTCTCACAGCGTCCCCATGTGTCTTAGCATCCCCATGTGTCCCAGTGTCCCCTAGTGTCTCAGTGTCCCCATATTTTCCAGTGTCCCCAGGTCTCCCAGTGTCTGTGTCCCCATGTGTCCTAGTGTCTCAGTGTCCCCTAGTGTCTGTGTCCCCATGTGTCCCAGAGGGTCTGTGTCCCCTAGTGTCTCAGTGTCCCCATATGTCCCCAAGTGTCTCAAGGTCCCCTAGTGTCTCAGTGTCCCCAAGTGTCTCAGTGTTCCCAGGTCTCCCAGTGTCTGTGTCCTAGTGTCTCAGTGTCCCCTAGTGTATGTGTCATCATGTGTCCCCTAGTGTCTCAGTGTCGCCATATGTCCCCTAGTGTCTCAGTGTCCCCATGTATCCCCTAGTGTCTGTGTCCCCTAGTGTCTCAGTGTCCCATATGTCCCCTAGTGTCTCAGTGTCCCCTAGTGTCTCAGTGTCCCCATGTGTCCCCTATTGTCTCAGTGTCCCCATATGTCCCTGCTGCCTTTCCCCCCCATCCCTCACTTACCTGAGCTGTAGAGCTGCTGTCTGGACTCTCTGTGCTGTGTGGCTGCTCCCCCACGGATCAGTGAGTACTAGAGAGAGGCAGGGATATTCTGTAACTTCCCATTCCTTGACTCTCTCCACACACAGTGACCCCTACTGGCCGGTGCTGGTATTGCAGATTAATTTACATTTATTCTGAGAAAATTACCTACATTTGTATTGCCAGTATCACGGCAATGCCGACATGGCCAGGCAGCCTCAAATACTGTCTGTGCCATTAAAATACCAGTCAGGTGGCAAACCTAAGAGTAGTGTGTGTAAAAAAAAAAAAACATTAATTTTTTTTTTTTTTTTTAATGGGCCTATTCCATGGGCCTGGGCCTGGAGCTGCAGCTCCATCAGCCCCTATGTTAATCCGGCCCTGCTTGCAAGGTCTCTCAACTATTCCAATTTCACAAAAATGTTACAGCCCTAAGCACCAAAATAGCTTTAGCTTACCAAAACAGTTGTGGCATATTGATCAGTCCCCTGCAGTCTCACTACTCAATTCTCTGTGAAATTAATCAGTTAAATCACTTTTTTTATGCAGCCCAAGCCACACCTACCCTGGCTATGACTCATACAGCCTCTACGAAAAAAAAGGTTAAAATTTTCCAGCACAGCTTTAGGCAGGGCCATCTTTAAGGAGGGGCAGCTGCCACGGGCCCAGTTACTCCTGGGGGCCCTAAGGCAGCTGCCCCATGGGCCCCCTGCAGCACCTGAGGTAATCAGGGGCCACAGCCCTTTAATAATGCTCTGGACCGGGCCCTTGTAATATGGGGGTTGGCTGAATACAAACACACAGCTAACCCCTCACACACTGCCCTGTGATCCCTTTTCTTCTCCGTGGCATGCTGGGAGGAAGTGAGGTCAGATTGCTTCCTCCCAGTAAGAACTGATCACTTCCTCCTCAATGCCGCTGGGGAGGAGGCACACACCACACGGAGGAGGATGCAAGCATTGTTGGGGAGAGGGACTGAGAAAACTGATGGCAGACTCCCATCAGCCTGGGCCAACAAGCTCCCACTGGACCCCAGGGAAGCCACCTTTCTGTACCCAAGAGGTAAGGAGACAGGAGGGTGGCTAAATATGTTTTGTTTTTTTGTTTTGCTTATTTCTGATATCACTTTTATTCAAGTGTTGGTGTTTGTAATGTAACACACGGGGAATAAGTACATGTTAAAAATCCTAGAAGAACCTGACAGTTCCCTATTAAATATAAATTTTAAAAGTATTTATTTTAACATATTATTGCATCAAGTGTTATCAAAGGCTGTATACCATTTCCAAATGTCACTTTTGCCAAATTCTGGACCAGGGTATGTAAGAACAGAGTTGAGACATTATTATGGCCAAGATTGCTGGGAGTTGCTGTCCAAGAGCTGCTAGAAGGCAGAGATTAAAATATGTAAATGTACAGATATATGTGTGTGTGTATCTGGCTGTGTTTATGTCCTTGTGTGTATCTGGCTGTGTTTGTGTCAGAGTGTGTATCTGGCTGTGTTTGTGTCAGTGTTTGTATCTGGCTGTGTGTCAGTGTTTCTGTGTGTATGTATACCTGTGTATGTGTACTTGTGTGTCAGTGTGTATGTGTACCTGTGTGTGTGTGTATGTATGTATGTGTCAGTGTGTGTAAGTGTGCATCTGAGTGTGTGGTAATGCATACATCCCAGCATTTTAATGCCAACACAAATACACTCCATCTCTAGCCAGTGGCGGATCCAGAGCCTGATCTCGGGAGGGGCACTTGTAGACTATTTAAATAAATAATCCAGGCACAATAACCACTACAGCTCAGTGTAGTAGTTATGGTGTCAGTAGTGCCAGGATTCCACCCCAGAGTAAGTAGTCATACCGTTTAAGAACAGTTTGACAGCTTACCTGGGGTCTGCTGGGATATAGGGTATAGGAGCAGTGGTGTGTGTTAAGGGTGAAGTGTGTGAGTGCGGCAGTGTATGTCAGCAGTGTTTGTGGGGCAGTGTGTGCATGGGGACAGTGTTTGTATGGGGACAGTGTTTGTATGGGGACAGTGTTTGTGGGGCAGTGTGTGTGTATGGGAGGCACTGTGTGTAATGGGGGGGCACTGTGTGTAATGGCGGCAGTGTGTGTAATGGCGGCAGTGTGTGTAATGGGGCAAGTGTATGGGGAAGCAGTGTGTACGGGGGGGGGCAAACGTAATAAAGTGCAGTGTGTATGGTGGGGCAGTGTGTGTATGGGGGCAGTGTGTGTAATAGGGCAGTGTATGGGGGGCAGTGTGCAATGGTGGGGCAGTGTATGGGGGGCAGTGTGCGGCTGGGGGGGCAGTGTGTGCATGGGGGGGCAGTGTGTGTAATGGGGCAGTGTGTGTGCTGGGGCAGTGTGTGTAATGGGTAAGCAGTGTGTGTATGGGGGGGCAGTGTGTGTGTGGCTGGGGGCAGTGTGTAATGGGGCAGCGTGTGTGCATGGGGGGGCAGTGTGTGTGTGCAAGTGTAATGGGGGGCAGTGTGTGTGTGTAAGGAAAAGGTGTGTGTGTATGGGGGGCAGTGTGTGTGTATGTAAAGGTGTGTGTGGCTGGGGAGGTGTGTGTAATGGGGGCAGGTGTGTGTATGGGGGGGCAGTGTGTGTAATGGGGGCAGTGTGTGTGTAATGGGGGCAGTGTAATGGGGGGGGCAGTGTGTGTAATGGGGGGGGCAGTGTGTGTATGGGGAGGAAGGAGGCTTTTAAATAATAATTTTTATTTTTATTTTATAAAATAAATATTCTATGTCCCCCCTCCCTTCTTACCTTTATTTAGGAGGAGGGACATTTCCCTGGTGGTCCCAGTGGTGATTCCCTGGTGGTCAGGTGGTGAGAGTGAACTCTAGCCCACGCTGCCCGGCTAGAGTTCACTCTCGCGAGATTTGGAGTGTTGTCTGGTAACCGCGAGGAGCTGCAGACTGAGCTCCGGGTCCTCTCTCTCACTCCCTCCCTCCGCTGCCGGCTGTCAGCACGGTGCCTGCGGACCGGGGAGGGAGATCTCTGATCTTCCTCCCCGGTCCGCACGCACATTGCAGGGCTGGCACTTGGGCAATGCCAGCCCTGCGTTAGCCGGCAGGGGGGAATCTCGGGGGGGGGGGCAATTGCCCCGTTGCCCCCCCCCTGGATCTGCCAATGTCTCTAGCACTGTACACATATACACCCCTGCATTTATACCTTTATGTATGTGTGTATCTGTGTGTGTGTGTACATACCTGTGTCAGTGTGTGTGTGTACCTCTGTGTGTGGATGTGCCAGTGTGTGTGTGTATCAAAGTGCTTGTATCTGTGTGTCAAAGGGTGTGTATCTGAGTGTGTGTGTGTATGTGCCAGTATGTGTCAAGGTGTGAGCATGTGTCAGTGTGCCTATGTGTGTATCTGCGTGTTAATGTGTATGTGTATATGTGTTATAGAAATCACACAACATGCAAACAGAGCCCTGCAAACACAAACATTACATACAAACACACCAGTTTGCTGAAACACCAATACTACACACAAATGTACACAACACTACATCCAAACAACCCACTGCATGCAAATACAAACATTACATACAAACACATTCCTGTATTAAAACGCTAAAATTATATACAAACACCAACTCTACACACAAAAGTACACCTGCATTTGAAAGCCAACACTACAGACAATCACACATTACTGCATTCAAACGCAAACACTACACACAAGTACACCACTGCATTCCAATGGTAACAGTACATACAAATACACCCCTACATGCACACATACACTCTACAATAACATGCTGACATTCAATTGCACAAACACTGCTCAAAAATACAACCCTGCAAGGATGGTAGATCCCTATCTGGCATAGCATCGCAGGAGTTGTATGACAGATGGGGATCTATCTTTTCTTTACTCTTGTGCTACAGGGCAGGCCTGAATTATTTTTTTTTGCACCAAGGCACTCTCTACATTAGTTTCGCCTCTAGGTTGGGGTGGAGGGAGTGATTGCATGCCCAGGGGGCCCAAGCAGATGCTTGCCCAGGGTCCAATCAATATTAAAGACGGCCCTGGCTTTAGGAGTTCTAACATCCTGCTCAGTTAATTGAGCTTTAATTACACAAAGGCTGCAGGCTCCACCGGGCAATTACAGAGCAGGGAATAAGAAATGCTCAGTTTAACACACAGTACACACTGTGTAATAAGGGAAGCTTATTTTAGAAACTGTGTTGGGATGCTGTGAGTAACTGCCATTGTAGCTATTGCTAGAGCTGCAAAAACAGTGATTTAACTCCTAAATGGCAGAGAATTGAGTAGTCGTATTGTAGGGGCACGATCTATACCCCAAGGTGCTTAGAGGGTACCTTTGCTAGACAGTACAGGAAGGTTAAAGGGATACTATAGTCACTAAAACAACTTTAGCTTGATAAATCGTTTTTTGTGTATAGATTGTGCTTCTGATGTTTCACTGAAGAATTCACTGTCATTTAAGAGTTAAATCACTTTTGTTTCTGTTTATGTAGCCCTAGCCACACCTCCCCTGGCTGTGACGGACACAGTCTGCATGAAATAAAAATGGTTTAATTTTCAATTACATACAGGAGGGTCTGTAGGGTCTAGCATGCTATAAACAGAGCAGGAGGTAAGACATTCTAAATTAAACAGAATTTACAATAAAGGAAGTGTAAATAATAGATGACTCTTTACAGGAAGTGTTAAGGAAGGCTGTGTAAGTCACACGCAGGGAGGTGTGGCTAGTGCTGCATAAACAAAGTGATTTAAATCCTAAATGGCAGGGAATTGAGCAGTGAGATTGCAGGGACATGATCTACACACCAAAACTTAATTCAGCTAAAGTTATATTAGTGAGTATAGTGCCCCTTTAATGCTTCTTATCTGTGTAAACAAATAAAAACCCACTTACAGCTTACAATGAGCATGCAGCTACTATACAGCTGTTTTAACCTTAGGTAGCAAGAAAAAGAGGCATAATTCAGCCAAACTGACGGTGAATTATTTCCTGCAGCAAACACTGAAGTAGCATTTATTGAGGTGCCAGGAGCTGTCACGTGTCTGAAACAAATTTATCCCCTTTAAGGATATATTATTATCATGATACTGTAGCGGAGTAGTAGTATAATCCACAGTATCTCCGCTGGTAGTCAGGATAAAACAGGTAAAATGCAGGTAGCGTAATAACAATCCCTTTCTCCCAAGAACTAGACGACACATAGCTTGGAGGTCAACTGAGGTTTTAATCACAGGTCACAGCATTTATACAGTTCCCCATATACTGGGTTTCCAAAGTGCTCTTGCAAGGGTTTTACAATAGTGGACTACATGGGAAACTTAAGTTACAGGGCTATTTCCCAACATACATTGTTACACTGGAGAGATGAGTGATAAGAATATACTGATAATCACTCGATCTCTCCATACAGCACAAGTTACAGTTTTACATTAAATTCTATAACTTTAAAAGTATTACAGTAAATTAACCGAATGACTTCTCGTTGAATAGCTGGGATCTGAGCACACCATCTGGGGAAATACCGCTCAGATCCCTGCACATTCAGACGAACGCCATTCGAATGACCTGTTTTCACGAACAACCATTGTAACAGTGGAATACATTGAGAGCGTTAATAAATTGAAAGAATTAATGTCCTGAACGGTCTGGAAGTCCAGCGGTGTTCGGTAAGTCGAGTAGCCAATTTTAGTTCCAGGCGTTCGGCTACCAAACACCGCTGTGCTTTCGTGAACAAAAATGGCCACATGTTCGGTATATGAACGGCGGCCACCCACAAAACCCATTAATAAATTGGAGATACATTGTTGCAGTAGTTAATGGGAGACACACGACCCCCGTTGTGTGGTCTCCCATTCGGCAGTTTGTTCGTTTGGAACTCCAAGCGGAAGGCTAGTACATTCGTATGCTGCAAGCACACAAATACTGTATGCATTTACATGTAATAGAAGAGGAAATAAAAGAAAAATGAAACATTTTACACACATACATTTCTTAAGTGGCTAGGTTTGCCACAGATACCTGCTCTTTAACTCAGTTGGTTTTTAAAAATACTTTATTTTTCCATGATGTGCGTGGTCATTCTTCTCCAAGGCTTGGGCTTGGTCACATCTTTGGCAGTCTTGTCAACATAGCAAAAATAAAAAGTAGTGTTTCCTTTGCACCTCCCTACTGATTACAGTATGATGCTTTGTTGATCATGGGTCCTTAAATAAAGCAGATCAAGACCTTCTCTCACAGCATGTACTGGTTGTAAAACGCAATCTATAAACACCATCACATGTCTTAACTCACCATGAAAATCATGTGACAAGTAGCAGACATAAATGAAAAGAACAACAAGAAAACACAACATTCAATATATCAATAGATACAAGACAGTACAATAAAAATTAAAACATATTTAAAAACAATAATAATAAGGAAGTAGCTCCAACCAGACACTCCCCTGTGAGTGCCTACTCTCAATTAGTGATGTCGCGAACCGTTCGTGAACTTGCCGCGAACAGTTCGCCACGGTTCGCCACGAACCGTTCGCGGCGAACTCCGGTCAGCTGACACATCCCTGCTAATCTCCGGCAGACCCTCCCTCCTAGACCCTCCCACCTCCTGGACAGCATCCATGTTGAAGCTGCCTTCAACATGGATGCTGTCCAGGAAGTAGGAGGGTCTGGGAGGGAGGGTCTGCCGGAGATTGGCAGGGATGTGTCAGCTGACCGGAGTTCGCCACGAACGGTTCGTGGCGAACGGTTCGCGGCAAGTTCGCGAACGGTTCGCGACATCACTACTCTCAATGCATAAAAATCAATAACTATAGGGGATGTGTCTTGAAGTCAGTATGAGCAGTCGTATGTAAGACTTGCTCCGTTACCAGCTACGCCACAGCTGTACAATCGAAGCAACTCACTTACCACACTAACCCTCGTCCCTCACAACAAATGATTAGCCCGACATCAAGAGAAGATGGCCCCCACGCTGACCATAGATGAATAGTGCATTGACCAAACTCATAGGATGACTAAGCCCAGGCATTCGCCCCAGTGGCGGATCCAGAGCCTGATCTCGGGAGGGGTACTTGTAGATTATTTAAAGAAATGATCCAGGCACAATAACCACTACAGCTCAGTGTGCTAGTAGTGCCAGGTTCCCATTCCAGAGTAAGTAGTCAAACCGTTTAAGAACAGTTTGACAACTTACCTGGGGTCTGCTGGGATATAGGGAATAGGAGCAGTGGTATGTGTGAGGGGTGAAGTGTGTGTGTGTGTGTGAGGGCGGCAGTGTATGTCAGGGTTGCAGTGTATGTGTGGGGCAGTGTGTGTGTGAGAGAGCTGCAGTGTGTGTGTGTGAGGGGGCAGTGTGTGTGAGAGTTGCAGTGTGTGTGTGTTTGGGGCAGTGTGTGTATGGGGCACTGTATGTGTGTGTGGGGCAGTGTGTGTATGGGGGGCACTGTATGTGTTTTTGGGGCAGTGTATGTATGGGGGCACTGTATGTGTGCGTGGGGCAGTGTGTGTATGGGGCAATGTGTGTATGGGGGCAGTGTACGCGTGTATGGGGGGCAATGTGTGTATGTGTGGCAGTGTGTGAATGGGTGGCAGTGTGTGTATGGGGAGCACTGTATGTTTGTGTGGGGCAGTGTGTGTATGGGGGAGCACTATATGTGTGTGTGGGGCAGTGTGTGTATGGGGGGCACTGTATGTGTGTGTGGGGCAGTGTGTGTATGGGGCACTGTATGTGTGTATGGGGCAATGTGTGTATGGGGGCACTGTATGTGTGTTTGGGGCAGTGTGTGTATGGGGGGCACAGTATGTGTGTGTGGGGCACTGTATGTGTCTGTGGGGCAATGTGTGTATCAGGGCCGTGTGTGTGTGTGGAGCAATGTGTGTATGGGGGGGCAGCAGTGTGTGGGTGGCACTGTATGGGTCTGTGGGGGGATTTGTGTATGGGGGTCGTGTGTATGGGGGCAGCAGTGTGTGTGGGGCAATGTGTCTATGGGTGTGCAGTGTGTGTGAGGCAGTGTGTGTGTGGGTGGCAGTGTTTGTGGGGCAGTGTGTGCCTGGGGGGGGGAGGAGGGTAGGGAGGCTTTTAAATAATGTTTTTTTTATTTTTATTTAATAATATAAATATATTTATGTCTCCCCTCCCTTCTTACCTTTACTGAGGGAGAAGGGGGACATTTTTGATCCCTGGTGGTCTGAGGGGAATCCCTGGTGGTCCCAGTGGTTAGAGTGAACTCTAGCCCATAGCGCCAGAGCTTGAGTTCACTCTTGCGAGATCCGGAGCGTTGCCGTGGTAACCGCGGCAATGCTCCGTGCTCGCGAGAGAAGGACCCGGGAGCTGCAGGCTGAGCTCCCGGGTCCTCTCTCCCTCTTTTTGAAAATATAAAAAAAAGGTGAAAAAAGTAAAAAAAAATGAAAAATAGAAAAAAGAGATAAAAGTAAATAATTGAAAATATGAATGTAAGAAAAAAAGTTTCTCTTGAGCACCTTTGTGAATGAAAAATTGGTTGTATCTCACCATAAATCACTTGTGGCTGTAAATATAGGGTGCAGAGTGAAGACCCTGGGCATTTCAGTCCCGAGCGCGTAGCCCAGGCAGCACGAGACAGGAAATGGACCAGATGGGGGCTATACTACATCACCACTCATCTAAAAAGCTGCACTTCCTTACTCAAAAACACAGAGAACTTCACCGGTCTGCGTTATACCCATTCACATATATATGGAGTAAGGAAGTGAAGATTTTTAAGATGAGTGGTGATGTAGTATAGCCCCCATTAGGTCCGGTCACTGTTTCCTGTCTCATGCTGCCTGGGCTACGTGCTCGGGACTGAAATGCCCAGGGTCTTCGCTCTGCACACTATATTTACAGCTACAAGGGATTTATGGTGAGATCCAACCAATTTTTCATTCACAAAGCTGCTCAAGAGAAACTTTTTTTCTCATATTGTTTTTTTCAATTTTTTTATTTTGATCTATTTTTTTCTATTTTTCATTTTTTTTTCTTTTTTTTTCAGACTATTTTCTGATCAGACTATAAATTGCTATCTAAGCATAAATTATTGATCAACTATTGGTGGATCCACCGGACTGTATATCAACTACCATTTATTATTATTCATCAAGTTGAATAATTGAAAACTAATTTTGAGAAGGTATATGGTCCCCTCCAGACTATCCCACATCTTCTCCATGAGCCCTGAGACATGTTGGAGATGCAACTCACATGTAGGAATTTCCCTCTATATTTTTGGGGGATTACCTTCTATTAGCACCATATTGGACAACGATCCAATCTGATACAATGTTATTTCCTTCTTGAGTTGCCTTTTTCTAAAGTAAGCAAGTTTAAAGGGACACTATAGTCACCCAGACCACTTCAGCTAAATGAAGTGGTCTGGGTGCCAGGTCCCTCAGGTTTTAACCCTTCACATGTAAACATAGCAGTTTCAGAGAAACTACATAGCAAGGTTAATCCAACCTCTAGTGGCTGTCTTCCTGACAGCCGCTAGAGGCGCATCTGCGACGCTGGATACGAAATTCTCATCCAGCGTGCAGAACATCCATAGGAAAGCATTGAGAAATGCTTTCCTATGGACTGTTTGAATGTGCATGCGGCACTTGCTCCACTTGGGAGCTGATGTCGGCGGGGGAGGAGAGGTCACCAGCACCGAGGAAGCCTGGCGCTGGATTAAGGTAAGCTGCTGAAGTGGTTTTAACTGCTTCAGCGCCAAGGGAGGGGGACCCTGAGGGTGGGGGCACCGTTAGGGCACTATATTTTCACTATAGTGATCCTTTAAGTTAAAGGTAAGCATAATTTTATGAACACTATAGCCTCTACTGCCTTGTTCTATACATGGAGTAATAGTGAATCTTGTAATGTTCTTAGAAACTTCATAAATAATAATAATTCTGTATATAAATTCAGTAAATGCGCACCCACTTAACCAGGTATTGACTGAATATACTGGATTCTGGAACTGCATATCATGAAATGGATTAAATGCAAGTCTACGGAAACCACCACTGCCAGCTTACACCATGTAAATAAAAACCTGAATTATGTACAAACAACCCCTTAGGAGTATGTATTATTTATTACCATTTTATTATAGTCAGATGTGTCAATGCGCATCATTTGGTTTATTGATCTTGCTTTGTTTCAACAGAACATTTTTTGTGGCTGAATACTGAGAGGAAATTACCGTCAAAGCTGATGTGACGTTTGTTGCTAATGATGACTAGAAGTTGCTATAACATAAAGTCTGAAGAATAGTTACCAGCAAAACTCATGACTGCTGCTAATTATCACTGCAAGATAATTTAGCAGAGGTAAACATAACATCAAAGTAAGTAAAGTAAATATACAGTCTATGGACATGGCATGAAATAAAATCTGCATATAGAACACGTTGACACAGATTGACGTACATTCCAGCCTGATAATAAAGCTCTCAAACATGTACAAATCACTACCACAGCCAACGCAAATGCACAGAACACAAAAAAAACAAAAAACAAAGGCAAAAGGTTTCTTTCTGCTTTTTACACTTAAAAGAGAATAACACGTTTTGTCCGTGTCATGGAAAAATTGCACAGCAAATGTGGCATGCCATAGAAGGATTACTCTGTCCCACTATGACCGTGTTAGTGATTTGAAGTAGTTATGCTGCAAGGAGTCTGTATGTGCAGAATTTCAGTATGTGACGAGGCTGTGGGAGGTGTAAGTCCACCTACGGCTACATCATTAACCAGATTTGGACGTTCTGGGCTGGCTATGTTAAATCTGCGCATAAAATACATCCAGCATGCAAACTGTATGTAAGGTCTGTGGAACATCCACTTTGACTTTAAAAACAAAACAAAACATGAATGATGCTATTTTTTAAAGGAAACTAAACACCCCAAAATCAGTTGATGTGAGGGTGTACTTGTATGACAGCAGGTGCTCAGTGTCATGCGTAAAATGATGGATCTAAAATGACTCATGCTTAAAGAATGCGCAAATGTTAGAAAGTTGCACAGGAAAGCAGTGATAAGCATTGACAGGCCCTGCCCCGAGACAGGTGGGCACTAAAAATATAGCAAAAGGGGAAACAAGACGTGGGCTAAAGGTACTGGACCTCCATTCACATATAAAAACCTACAAAGATAAACAGTGGTATATTTTTACTAATGTGCCAGACACTGTGTCTGACCAAGCCCATATACAAAGATATATGCAAAGGGGCAACTGGCCCTGGAGAAAGGTTACCACTCAGAATTATATATTCTTGTGATTAGGGACCAGGGATGGGGTGCTCACTCCTGCACAGTGACCGGTGAATGTAAGGAAAGAAGTGTCCTAGAACATCATGACAATGTGTTACCTGTGTGATATGCACCAGAGCATAAAACATGATTCTGTGGAGGTTCCGTAATATAAACAGCACACAGGATACATTATGTTCTAATGCAGGGGTAGGCAACCTTCGGCACTCCAGATGTTGTGGACTACATCTCCCACAATGCTCTTACAGCTATAATGCTGGCAAAGCATCATGGGAAGTGTAGTCCAAAACATCTGCAGTGTCGAAGGTTGCCCATGCCTGTTGTAATGACTGAATTAACATACAATATATCATTTATGTATTGATTTCCAGTGTGTTTTAGCAAAGTGACTTGCTACAGAACAGAAGATGTCACTGTTGAGCTACAGTTAGTGATACCATCATAA